AATTTAATAGAGTTAATAAGTTAAGTATATACTTTAAATTATTAACTATATAAATAGCTGGATTTTTAATTATAGTAGTTAGAGTTATTTATATAGCTAATAGTTTATAATAAATCCTATATTATAGCTATAATTAAACTAGTTATTATAAAGGAAAGTAATTATAAAGTTAAGAAAAGTATACTATTATAAGAAATAAATAGAATTAGTATATTTAGCTTTAAAAAAAGTAAATCTGAAGCTTTAGTATTAGAAGAGATATATATTAAAATATAGAATAACTAGTTAGCTTAGTATTATAATAAGGCAGGCTATATTATATAGTATAGTAGAGTAGGTTATAGTAAAAGAGGGATATTTATTTAAATATTAGTACCTATACTACTTCCTAATTTAATAGGTATACTAGATTACTTTTTTTTTTATAAATTGCTATCTTTTTTACTAGTTGCTGATCCCCCCTACCTTCGGTAGGGGGGCCGGCTAATTTAGGCCCCCCAAGTAGCCCCATAGTCTCCATTGTGCAGTCCAGTGCTGTCTTTCTCCTTCACACAGCCATCCCTGATGTAAATATGTGGGAACTAGCTAGAGTTTCTTCCCGAAACATCCCGATGCTTCCCGCATGTCTCGGTTACATGGTGTCTTTCTTACCTCGTCTTAGATGGGTTTGGGCATGAGCGGTATTAACGTTGGGCCAATACCGTCTATACAATTTCAAAGATGATCACAGGACAGCAATCGGGCTGTCCAGACATGCGCCCGCTTTGTCTACAGAGGAGGTTGTATTCCTAGGCATCTCCAGGATGCGCTGATTTTCTTAACTTCAAGCTGGAAGTTGACTCACAAGCAAACAAGTTCTAATGCGGTATTCAGAAATATGTTGTTGGGCTTACTGTGGAGTCTAATAGAGAGAATACCCTTCCAGAGCTATTGGTAAGACTGAAATTACACAAGGGTCTTGGAAGAGCTTGCAAGACAGCCGGAGCTAGTCAGTTTGTGAAGGGAGTCGTTTTCTGACAGAATTGTCTTCAGTGGATATTAGAAAGAATTGACGACTGGGGGAGACGGGAATACGGGAGGGTGGTGCCATCTGAACCAGGGGTTAGTTTTGGTACTTGCACGGAGTAAGTTGACTCGGCTTTAGGATTGTAAGATCCTGTGACGCATTTTGAGTCTCTATTGAGCAGTAGAGGGGTACTCCGTACTTTACCTGACAACAATGCCTGCCAAGCCTATGTACATAGGTAGGTACCCAAGTATGTATCTCAATAGTAGGTAGGCAGCAGGCACTGCCAGGCAGTAATGCCCCACTGAGAGTGAAGATGCCCAGTTAAGTGCCAGGATTCTGACAAGTGCTGTTGCTGACGGGACCTCTCACCAAGACCCCTGTGTAAGCGTCCAAGAGGTCAAGCTGACGCTTTCTTGACCGACAACTGCTTTCCCTTTAACCATCACCCTCTGTACTGTGTTTGATTTACAACACTTGGGGGCAGATTGCAGTCAACATCTCAACCATTACACGACAACATCGCCTCGTTCTATATCCGCAATGCCGGGGTCTGTGAACACTGCAGACGAATATGAGTTTATCAACTACGAGGATGTGGCAGTAAGCCCCGAAGACGTGGCAAAGGTCCGCGACTGGCTCCAGCCCACAGACTACCTTGCAGACTCAGGTGAGTTCCGCCGCCACCTTTTATCGCAAGCTCCTGGTACGGGGCTTTGGATTTGCGAGACGGATGCGTACCGTAAATGGCACGATTCTCCAGACCACGGTAGTCTATGGATCAACGGCGTGCCGGGCGCGGGCAAGTCCGTCACGGCGTCCTCCATCATCCAACACTTGAAGACAACCGAAGACTGTCCCGTTCTGTTCTTCTTCTTCCGGAACATCGTCGCGGCCAACTTCTCCCCGCGGGGTCTATTGCAGGACTGGCTGGCACAACTTCTGCCTTACTCTCCCCGACTCCAGGTGGCACTTCGGGCTCGCATCGACACGAGCCTGGAAGACATATCAGACAGCAGCCTCATGGAGTTCTTCACTGATGGCATATCATGTGTCCCAAGGCTGTACTGCGTTGTAGACGCGCTCGATGAGATGACGGCCGACAACAGGGCATTTCTTGAGAATTTGAACAGACTTGCTACGTACCGCCCTCGATCTCTAAAGCTTCTCATTACCAGCAGACCGAAGCAGTATCTACAGAGCGCGTTACGAGACTCCTCAATTGTTCACGTTAGCCTCCAGAAGAAACTTGTTGATCGCGACATTCTTCTATATTTAAATCACAGACTTGACGGCGTGCTCAGCGGACAGCACCTCGAGAGGGCTAAGATCATTGACATGGTCGCCTCCCGCTCTGAAGGCTTATTCCTGTACGCCAAGCTTGCCATGGATCAGGTAGAGGCCGCATTAACTTCGTCACATGAAATTGGCGTTGAGGAACTCGAAAAGACTCTTCCAGCTGGATTGGAAGACACATATGACAAGATGTTGCGCAAGCAGCGTGAAGAGCACGGCGTCAGTATCGATACGCAGGTTCTTGTCCTACAGGCAGTGACTCATGCGTCTCGACCGCTGCGTCTGAATGAGCTCGCCAGCCTCATTGAATGCGTCGCTCCAGAAGCCGCACCGCCAAAAGGCTACAAAGCTCTCGTCGCCAAGAGCTGCGGACCGCTGGTAGAGATCTTGGAAGACGAGACTCTGCAGGTTGTCCACCATTCCTTCACTGAATTCTTACGCGGTGATACTCGGAATGCCTCCGTAGGTGAAGTATTGACAAGGTTCCCAATCATCGATTCACCCACTGCCCACAAGACAATGGCCATGAATTGTCTTCGGTACCTCCAGTCAGGCTCGCTCCAGAACGAAGGCGAGTCCGACGTGTCCATCACGTACCGACAGGCGGCATTTCCATATGCCCCAGGTGAGCCCAATCCAGGTGGATATATGTATCTCTGGAGCATTTGGAGAGGAAAGGATAAAGATCCGTTCGAGTACCAAGAAGCGCGGCTACTTCACCCTTTCCTCCAATACGCTGTCACGAACTGGAACGGCCATGCTAGCAGATACGACGCGGATGACGAGGAATTCTTCGCGGCGGTTGTGGACTTTCTCAGGCCTGAAAGTCTGGCTTTCAGGAGATGGCTCAGGCTAGAATGGGGAGCCACCTCCAGGAGCCAAGACAGTACAGATGGTTTGCCGACAGCGCTCCACCTCGCAGCATTCTCTGGCCTATCCAAGTTCGCTATAAAGTTGATCGAGGACGGCGCATCAGTGTCAAGCTTGGACGCGCACGACCGCACGCCTCTACACTGGGCAGCGGCCAACGGCCACGAAGAGGTTGTCTCGCTGCTCATCAAGAAAGGCTGTGACCTCAACGCCGAAGACGCATACGGCATGAAGCCAATCCACCTTGCTGCGCGGAAGAACCGCGCTGCAGTAGTGAAGCTCCTCCTTGAGGCAGGCATCGAGCCTGATACGATCAAGACTAAGGAGAACCACCCCGGGCCCATGGGGGGCAGTGAGCTGATCACACGAGGGGAGTGTGCCATTTCTATTGCGACCAAAGGTGGCCACGCCGAGACTATCATTGCCATGATTCCTTTCTGCAAGGGGAAGGTTCTGGAACGGCTTCTATGCGAATCGTGTCAGCACGGCCTCACAGATGCCGTGTTGGCTATCCTAGAAACGACAGATGTCTCGGCCAACGCTGCCTACAGGAAGGGAACCGCTTTGTATTTCGCGTGCCGCGCGACCAGCGTCAAGTGCGTCGAAGCGCTGATCAAGCGTGGGGCGGATGTGTCCATGATGTCGACATTCAAGCCGAAGAGGGTGAGGCTCGCAGGAATCAGAGAGCGGGAAAAGGAAACAGCACCGTTGCACTGCCTGATCATGTACTGGGAGGAACAGAACGACAAGGACTGCCGGGCCATTCTGAGGTTACTTCTCAAAGCTGGGGCTGACCTAGAGCAAGTCAGTGGTGCCGGAAACACACCGTTACTCATCGCTGCTGGAAGTAGTGAAAATGGCTACCAGTTTCCCGTCCGCAATTCCGCTCTCAAGGCCTTGTTGGAAGTGGGAGCAGACATCACCAAAGAATCCCGGCGATCGCCCGGCGACTCGCTTCTACATCTTGTTTTCGATCGGACCCGAGATCCCATCCTTGTGCGGCTCCTGATCGAGCACGGGATTGACCCAAACGCGACGGATACGAGGGGAAAATCAATCCTTCAGTGCTGTGTTCACCAGCCTGGCATGGTAACAAGAGTTGAACATATCCTTACCATCGTCAAGTATCTGCTTGATCAAGGAGCTGACCCCAACATGTCGGATCAACATGGAAATAGTGCACTCAAAGAAGCAATGGGATGTGAAGAATTGGAAATTTTCAAAATACTGCTATCCAAATGCAATAATGACTTTAACAAAAGGCAATGTTGGTTCCATCTGCCTTCTGTGTACAAAATTGAACGATTTATCGAGTTGATGGAGCTGCTACTGGAAGATGGCATTGACATCAACATCAGGTCAGTGGACGGCCGCACCCTCTACCTTCTCTGTCTCAGTGACGAGGAGAGATTGCAGTCTATCCGAGAACACGGGGCCAAGACTGATGTGGTTGACAACAATGGAAACAACGCTTTGCACCTCCTGGCTCAAAGCCGCCGCATCCAGCGTGAGCAAATGGAGAGAAGGATTGCGGACGGGGTCGATCCTCTAAGCACAAACAAGGACGGATACACACTACTACACCATATTATACCCGAATACAGCACCAAAGAGGAATGTGTCACCTATGTGAGGTGGCTGATTAGTCTTGGAATATGCGTCAACGCTGTCGACACGTCTGGACGCACCATTCTTCACCATTACTTGACGCGCGGTTCCGGTGGAGGAACATTCCCTGAAAAGAACCGCTTCCACTTTATCGATGCCATAAATTTCGAAAACAAGGTCAACTTCGAAGTCAGGGATAAGGATGGCTTTGCCCCGATCCATATCGCGGCCACGAAAACAGAAATCGAATTGGCCAAGCTCGTTAGCAGCGGTGCGGACCCGACGTTTCTGACGCACGGCAGGCAAAACATCCTCCATCTTGCGAGCTGTGCGCGGATGCCCGGTATTGTCGGTCAGATCCTCGACCAGTTTAGCACCAGCGGCCTGGAGCAAAAAGATAATCTTGGCAGAACCCCGTTGCACTACGCTTGCAGCTCAGGAGAAGCCGAGTCCGTAGCATTCATGCTCCAGTATGGCGCCAATGTGCACGCCATAGACAAAGACAGCCGTACGCCTCTGCATGCCTGTGCTAACTTCAAAGAGGAGCAAGCCCTCTGGAACGCGGGAGGCCGACACTATCAATCTCTGGCGGCTACTCAGGAAGACCGGTTCCGCCCCGGGGCCTCTCGAAAGAAACAGCATGGTCTTGGTGTCTGGTATAACGTTCGCTATGGAGGCCGACCGAGTCAGAGAATGCGACGAACCTACTTCCCCAACGTTACAAGCATCACGCAGATGCTTCTGGATGCTGGCGCGGATGTTGCTGCTCTCCGGGGCGACTACACAGCCTTGGATGAAGCTCTGGACTCTGGCTGCTGGGAATTCGTGGAGCCAATTTTCTTGGATGAGGACTTGTTCATGAGAGCGACCAAGCGCCTTGAAGAAGATTCAGCATATTCTCAAGATGCGGTGGAGATTCGCCAACGCATGAGAGCTCAGATGGCCTTGATGCAGCCAAGATCTTGTTTGAGCGGAAATGCACCGTTCATGGCCGAGGTATCAAAGCACCCTGAGTTGTACTTGGACCTGCTTTCACGCGATGACATCGCCCATATTGCCAATGAGGCCGTTGATGCAGATATTACTGCCACATCGAATTACGATACCCTCAAAGACCTCATCAAGCTCGGTGACCTTCGAGTTTTGGAAACAGTCTCTCGATTGGTGGTTCACTACAGCTCGTATGATACGGTCAGAGACAGCCTTAAGAAGGGTAGGGAAGAGTCTGAATACAAATACAAATACACCACGGAAGAATGGACTCCCCTCCAGATGGCATGCGACCAACCGAAGCCTAACATGCTTACTGTGAGGTTTCTCGTGGAGAAGCTGCATGTAGATGTCAATGCGCCAAAAGCTATTCTTGAAGACCGCTACAACAGCGATGACAAGATATCACCCGGAGGCACCGCTCTCCACATGCTTGCCTCAGCGAACGAGTGGTGGAAGCTGGAGGCGATGAGGTGCCTCCTTGCCAACGGTGCCGATCCAAATCTGGTCGACGAAAAGGGCCAGACCCCTCTTCACATTGCCGCACGCGGGGTGCAGGAGACTGATCAAGACATCTCGGGTTTTTGGAAAATGGAAGCTGTGCGCATCCTCCTCGATCACGGAGCCAACCCTGATATTATTGATAAAGAGGGCCAAACTGCCCTTCACAGGGCGGGTTCTGCACCTGATGTCATGGCGGAGCTGCTCCAAAGGGGCGCGGATGCCACGCTGGGCACGCGAAGCCCCTTGTTCCAGGCAATCCGTGATCAGAACCTGGCCGCGTTCGACACTCTCCTAGATCATGGTTTGAGTGTTGATACCCTCGACACCAGCCGTCAGAGTGAAGACATACACCACTCCCTTCGAGAACCTAGAGTAGTGTACGCTCTCTTGGCCACAGCCTACGCGGAGGAGTTGAACAGCCACGTTCCTGAATCTGTTCCCTTACTCCGATCCCTAGTCAGGCGAGGAGCCAACCTATATCTTCCTCTCAACGACCGAGAAACCCTCATCCACTTTCTATTTGAGTTCCCAGAGTATGAAGTCTCGGACACGCTCCTCCAGGAGCCATGTGCAGCCCGGATCGATTTCAACCGGCGTGATCAGCGTGGCCGGACTATTTTGATGGCATCTTGTGCGGGGAGGCAGGACCTACCCGGGTATAGTTACAAACACTGGGTTGCCAAAGTCACAGGTATTCCGCTTCGGATCTTGGACCTCAAGGCGGACGCGACTTTGGTAGATGACGAAGGCAAGACTGCTCTTCACCACCTACTCGAGAACGCGGGGATGCCGGATGATGTGCTTATCGATTTTATACGGCGCAAGGAGGTGGCTCCTACACTCCTACAGAAAGATAAGGCAGGGTTCAGCCCCTTCCATTACGCCCTCCGGATTTTGCGCCCCGACATTTGTGAGCTCCTGTTGTCCCTGGGGGCGGATCTACTAGAGGCTGATCCAAATGGCCTCACCGCGCTGCATTACATTGCCACGCACTGGTACATGACATCTCGTAGGCCCAGCTCAGGACATATTGGTATCGATCTGCCGCAGGAGTACTTTGACAAGTGCCTGGCGTTGTGGAAGAGGTTCCTGGCTGAGGGTGATTCAATCAACTGTGTGGATAGTTCTGGAAATACCCCGATGCACTTGTTTATGCTTTCACAGACGAGAGATTGCGGCCGGTATAGGAGAGACCAAGAGGTTGAGTGCTGCCATGCCCTCTATTACGAGAAGCTCTTCCCCGACGACAGCGGGGCAGATATATTTGCCGTCAATCATGATGGGGAGTCGATGCTTCATCTAGTCAGCAGAAGTGGACATGCGTATAGTGCTCATAATAAGCTGCTCTTTGAGGCAATGGTGCAAAAGGGTCTTGATCCATTGAGGGAGGATGCTCGAGGGAGAAGCTCGCTCGATGTTGCGAGTGCTTGTCAGAAGGATGAGATTGTTGAGCTTTTAGGTAGAAAGTAGGACAGTTACATGTCATGTATGTAGAAGAAACAAGTTCAATTGCAGTTGGCAGTTTCAACCAATTTCTGCCAATATCATCGCTGAAAACACCCGCGTGGGAATATTATACCGACGTCGTTTTGTCGGTGGCGTAGTGTCGATATGGCTATTGACTCAAGGTGCGAACGATCCAGTCGACTGATTCGGTGCTCTCCTTGAAACCGTATGGAAAGACAAGAGGGAAGCAGTGCATCTGGCCCTCCCACTCCAACCACTCCCCTTGGATGCCCTGCTCGGATAATCGGTCGCGGAACGCAATCGCTTCGACAGAGAGAACATCCCAGGTTCCAACTACGCCGTGTATTTTGACATCCCTCCTTTTCAACTCCTCGAAATCGGCCAGGGCTGGTGACACTCGTGGATCACTAAGGCCCCATTCCTTGCTGTCCTTGTCATCGCCTACCCACGCGTTCGCTGTGCCTTCGATAGACTGGGAGGTAAATATGGGATCCTTCTTAGCTACATCAACAATTCTCTCATCCAGATGCCGAAGATCAGTTGTCGGGCATATGCACATGAGGGCAGACGGCGCCCTCGCTTCGGGGCTCTGCAATGCCCATGCAACCAGACAGAGAATGATGTTGCCTCCAGAGCTGTCCCCCATGAATACTACATGCTCACCCTGGCCCTCAGATTCTTTCATCAGACTGTCGTAGAGGGTCCTTAATAACGGCATGGTCACGGAGGCGGGACATTTCGGCGCCAGAGGATAGGAGATAATGCTGATGGTGGTGTCGGATAACCGGTTGGTCAGTTCTGCGAGGACTTTCCAATGGCCACCGCTGGGGGGCTGTTGCCATCCGCCTCCAGAGAAATAGTATAGTCTCCGCTTGGAGGGCAAGGGACTGTCATCGGTTGATTTAGCCGATTGCGGTGTGAGATCGTAGATCCAGATATCGTTCACCTGTCGCTCGGTGATGTTACATCGCTTCCGCACCGCGCGCGGAGCCGTCAATTGAGGCGAGCCAGGATATGATTTCTTCCTCGCTGTGGCCAGCCGTGGACGGAAGGGTTTTATGAGGAATTGGAGGAGTCGCATCTTGAGGGTTTTGTCAACGCGCCGCGTCACGGTGATGGACTTGGCCATGGCGGCGGTTGTGTCGCGATCGCCGTCAGTCATTCTGCAGGCGCTTCAAGGTTCATGTATGTACAGGGGAATATTCTCAGTCGATAAATAGCATAAGATTTTAGGCTTGAATCGCTTCCATTGGAAAAGTAGGAGAGGCGTGAGGCTTTGGCATTGTTCGTGATGATGACAATGAGCAGGTGATAATTAATTCAATCGCTGGGCATCGACGTCATCAGTTTAAAATGACGCCACTGTACATTTCTCTGGTGCCGCGATTCGCCACAGCAAATCACAGAACACTTCGCTTATATTGATCCACCATAATCTTTTGTCACGTTCTAGACTCAGTAAGATGTATGGTCAATCTATTGATTCTATACTAGAGGTATGTTCGTGCTATTTTCTTCCGGACGACCGTAGTCCAGCTTCCATCCACACTCAGGCGCTGGTATGCCACCTCCTTGACTGACGCGTCACCAATCTCAACCGCATAATCACCATCATGCCCATCCCTCTCCCTTATCGCTGTCGCTACTACATCCCCAGGCAGCCCAATGACCCTATTCGAGCCTTCAGTGATATCAAAAGGCGCTCCTGTCTTTGAAAATACACGCACTCGTAGACTCCTCCCAACGCGCTTGGCCTCCAGCTGGATAGGGTACGTCTCCATGGGCAGAGGCTGGTCAAGGGGCGTTAGATGCATGCTAATCGCATTGTCTGACCCGTAAGAAACAGCAGTAGCATCCAGCGTCATCCGCGTGCTATATATCGACCGGCTATTCGCAGTGTCGTTCCGCGCGTGGTGTATGTAAAACAGCTCCGTTCCATCGAGCGTCTCGCGCGTCACGTCCTGTGCGCCCACCTTGCGATTCCCACGAGGAGGCGACGCGACGACGCATCCGTGCCCAGTCGAGTAAATTGGATGTTCGCCATCTGGAGCTTGAGAGAGGACCGGGTTGTTGGCAGACTTCTTGAAGGGCCCGAGCGGTGATTCCGCCGTCGCAAAGCCCACGCCGTAATTGGACGCCTCAAAGTTGTTCGCGCTGAATGTGAGTAGATACACAGACTTGCCAGTCTTTGCATCGGGACGCGTCAGCAGGGTGCTACCCTCGGACCAGCGACGATCCTTCTTGGCCCCGTTGGTCTGGCTGTAGTCATCCACGTGGTAGTTCTCCCACTCTTGGGGATCGGCCCCGTAGGAGAGAACTGTCGTCCAGCCGTCCTTCCGGGGCGGCTGGCCAATCTCGCCGGTGCCGTTGTAGGACGCGATGTTGTCCGGGAGGTCCGGCGCGTTGCCGTGGAGATTTATCTGCGAGGCCACAATCTTGGGCATCGTCGTAGCTGTCGGGTCATCCCACCAGTCGCGCTCCAGCTCTACCGCGATGATGTTGGACTCCTCAATGTACTTGCCCAAATCCTTGTCCCAATTCCAATTCCTGTACGCGTTGCGTGATGTGTACAGATAAATGCGCCCGTCGTTGTCGAAGAAGACATTCGGGTCGATGGTCGGAATGTACGTGCCCTTGGGTGCCGTCTGGCCCTCCTCGAGAGTCTTGGGCGGTAACATCTGCTTCTCATCCATGATGAGGTTGACATCGCAGTAATCGGGGTCATATGGGTAGTAATCGATCGGCTCCGGCTTGATCTCCTTGAACGGACCCGTGGGAGAGCGAGAGACGGCGACTCCAAGCTTGGAGGGCTCCTCAAACGCCGAGTAGCGGAAATGGTCCTTGGTGATGTCGGTCCGCAGACGCGCAGCGAAGAAGAAGAAGTACCATCCCGTCTTCTCGTTGTGGTACGTCTCGGGCGCCCAGAACCAGTCTCGCGCCCAGCAGCCCTGCCCGTCCTCGACCTGGCCGCTCCCACAGCCCTTCAATGCGCCTCCAGGGTGCTTATGCCAGGTGGAGAGATCCGGGCTGCTGTAGATGGCGAAATGGTAGCCTTGGTCTGCGCCCTCGGTAGAATAAGCGTAGTACCGGCCGCTGCTGGAGTCGTAGAGAACAAAAGGATCTGCCCCGGGGTGGTTGGCGGCATTGTGGAATTGAGGAGTGTCTTCGCCCCTAGAAGAGATGCTCTCTTGGTCTGACTTTGCGTCTGTGGTGGACATGGCGGCGCAGAAGTGTGGTGTTATTAATGAGAGCAGCAGCGCGCTCGGGAGGGAGGAGAGCAGCCTCATTGTAGATTTGGAGAGCCGCGGTAGGGTTACAGCTGACTACCTACAGACGTCAAATCGCCTGCCTCCTCCCTCTTATGTGTATTGTCCGCCAAGCTACATACCGAATACAGCAGCCATCATGAGTCTGGCCATGACTCTCCCTCCCCTCATCTTCTCCTCTTTTCCAATATCCGCACGAATCCTGCTATCGGGCCGACGTTGAAGGGCACGATGGATCAAAAACCTCGTGGAGGCAAAGAAATTGGCCCACAATTTCCCCTCACAAAACTGCCTCTCCTTGAAGCTGTTGGTCGGTGACTGGCTCCAGAATCATGGAGTGGCCTGGGGTCAATCTTCCACTCGGGTAATATCAACACCGCTCATTCCAGCCGCGCGGCGCACATCATTGAAGATCATCGGTGTCAGCCTCTGTCTTTAATAGGCAGCTCAGTCTTCGTTGGCCAACGAGGTACCCATCAATAAGCCGAGACGAGTCAATGAAATGGCTCTCACCTAGTACTTCCTACCTACCTACCCTATACGCCTCAATTTCCGCGCAAACGGGATCGTATTAGACGCTTTGAAATACCCCAGAACTTGCCTACTTTATCTCTTATAGTAAAATAGGGTAACTTGTCGATATTAAATTTAGGTGGTAATTTTTCATTCTGGCTACTATGATCTTCCGTGAGTCGTGGACGGGAGAAAGGCCAGCATAACTCTCATATTGGACTATGAAGAAACATTATGAAGATTTGGGCCGCAGATAACTATATCAGCGCAACCTGAAGTCTTCTTATAATTTGATTTCTTGGCAACGGAGCTAGGGGCTCAATTACCTTTGTCAACCCCCCCGAAGCTGATTTAGGGGACACTGGTCTTTTTGGATCGCGTTGAGTGAGCTTGTGCCGTGCTGTGAGCTCAAGCACATGCATTTTGATTACTTATACTTCGCCAGGAATCGACAGACATGCAATTCTTGCTCTACATAGGGTTTGAGTTTAGTTCTGGCCACTAGGACGAACTGGTAATGGCCTGACGCTGCTGGCACCCTCGTCTGCCTCGACGTCCATTGACAACAACCCGAAATGCTTGAGTTTCAACGTCTGGACACGCAGTTAGCTGTCTAGACGCCCTGACGCTTTAGAATCCAGCGAAGGGAAAACTATTACCTCACAAGAAGCGAATATGCCGAGTATTTGAGAACCTGTAGGTTTCACCACACAAGACTTCCGTCTGAATTTCGTTTTCCACGGCAGTTTCGGATCCGCGGTTAAAAGAAAGAGAGATTTCTGGCGGCCAAAGTTGGTGGAGATCTATTAACGGACATTAACAGTCTGTCGCAAAGTAATACGTGGATTAGGCTCTCACCTCCATTTCCAAAGGACCATCCATGTTTTCCTCGATTCTGATCTCTGTGATGCGCTCGCCGCCTGGGCCGTCGACTGATACCGAACTAGCATGATCTTCGCCATGTGGCGGATATAGATTAGGCCAATACGGTCTTCTACCAAAAGGCATGCGCTGACCGAGGAGCGAATCATGTGTGCTATCAGCATGCTTGAATTCAATGCCCGCGACGGCGTTGAGGTCAAACAAATAGGCAGTAACTCCGACGAGCGTGGCCGGCTGAAAGAGGGCTTTCTCAAGTAGAGGCGGACGAAACGCCTCGGGGCCTCGAAAAGAACTTTCATCGTATGATAAATCACACAGTATCCCGGGAGCAGGTACATCAGACTTCCAGAAACACCTATCTTTGCCTGGCAACTCCGCCTTTTCATCAAGACCAAGAGATAAAAGTCGCATGGCCTCCTTAAGGTTAGTATTTGGGGTAGTAGCATTCTGAAAGAAGAAGAGTGAAGGTAGCAATACTTACATCGAATTCTGCTTTCACAGAAGCCCCAGCTGGAGTAGAGAGTCGCCATTGGGGGCAAGCCCCAGGTTCCCCTGCCCAGGGGGATAGTGTTCGATCATCGAGTTCCACGGCAATAGCTTTTATTCCACTCTTGCTAAGAGCTAGATGCAACGCTGACATGGAAGCTGTTGTTGGGAGAGTAATCGTCTGCTGAAATAGTGTGATGTAGCCCAGGCTTTCATATTCACCCCCGCGAGTCATAAATTGCAACCCTGAAACAAATTTGCGATTGTCAACAACATTAAATGACACGGCTAGATGGGAGAACTTTAAGGACGTAGGTAATTGAATTTCCCGGATGCGCAAGCCTCTGCAGCCTTCCCGTAGGTTGTACCAGTCGTCCGAGGTGTTCTCAAGGAGTCCATCGCTTGCCATAAACCATTCTCGGTCGTCACCGATACAATCAGGCTCAAATTTACTGGCCAGCGGCAAGCCTTGGCATGAAACTCCTTCTACCTGGTCATGGAGTTTCTTGAGCTTCAAGCCAAGCTTCCACACCCTTGCTCGGTTCTGGAGGGCATGACTCTGCCGCTCCAAGATCCGCGTGAACATATAGAGGGCCTTCCAAGACCTAGGGCGTTGCAGCGAGGTCTCGAAAATGTGAGCATACTCGTACCCATCTTGGAATCTGGACGCCCAGAATGACTCTGGTAGATCTATGCAGGCGACTACGCGAGAAGCTGACCGGAGACTTGCCACGTCGGGCGAAGAGAGGGTTGGAAGAATAGCCTGCAGGATTTCAACCGGCAAGCGATAGAACAGATCGCTTGTTACCGGCCTAGAGTGCCAGGGGTAGGTAGGCGGTTCAAAGCGAACCGCGCACTGTGTCAAATAATACAGGTCGGGAATGTTCATGGGATCCGATCGAAAGAGGGACGACTTGATGTGCGAAAACAGCTCCTCTGGCATAAAGCCAGCCCACCGGCTGCCATAGGGCTGAGACTGAGTGCTATAGTGTTGAGAGCGAGCGGCGCCACCGTAGTCATGACCCCATTGGATGATGCCTGCATCAACAATAGGCATGGAGAAGCAGACACCGAAGAGAACCGAAATGTCTATGTGACCTATCTTGGCCAGAAGATCCCAGCATGCAGCATGGAAGGCAAATCCACAACGGGAGACGGAAGGTGTCATGTGCGAAAACGGCTTCGGAGCAGCTGGACCTAGTTTGACCATGACCTTGGAACCGGGGTCAAGGTCCTGGTCGTCGTATCGCTTGCTTGCATCTCTTGGACATCTCGCTATGAACACTCCCACGTCACGAGGGTCGTACTCATCAGTCTCTCCAGCTGAGCAAACCCCGGAAAGTCTCACATCGTCCCACGAGGGAGGTTGCGCGTATACTAAGTGCAACGTGTTGAGTCAGTGCTGAGAGTAGCGCACAGGAGTCAGCAAGGTGTATCATCACTTACTGACACGGAACTCTTTTAGCCATGCCTCGCCGAAGCTGGATGAAACGGCCACGCCGCATAGGGTGCACATGAAAGGTTCCATTAGAAAGGGTAAATTGCGTAGTTTGTATGAGGGAGATGTAAGCTGGCCGATGGCGGCGGGAACTGCTGCCTTGCAGAAACATTTGTGATCTGACCGCGTTTCAGCCTAACCACCAACCACCCTAGTCATTGGCTGACATTCTCAAATCTGCCTCGTGCAAAATTTGTGTTAGTCTAAGGTAGTTGTGGAGATCCAAGAGAAAAGTCGATTTAATAGTGTCTTGTGTTTCTTTAAGTATAACAGCTGTACGGATTTTTATCATCATTGTTGGGAAAGGGCCACGGTTCCCTCCATCTCATGATCGAGCGATTAGGCAGATATGACAGTGAATTTTGAAAAGAGCCCTGTAACCCTAATTCGATGATCTGTTTGAAATACAAACTATAGGTTCTTAGAAGTAGCAGCTATGATATATCGCCTCATTACTCGACGAAAGCTACAATATCGTCGTCGGGGATTGAAAGCATCACTCTTCCTAACAAAATTTTACAAGAACGATTGAAATGGCGTCATATGCATTTAGCCTCATAGATCTCATTCTGAGAAATTATTGAAAGCGATGGTTGCATCGAGCGTGTTTGACCCGGTTACCCCTGAGCAATGAAGTGACTCTGCCAGACAACTACACCTGCAAGACCTTTTCGGCTTCCTCCTTGAACTTTGCCAGGGCGGCAAGATACAAAGATATCCCGATGCTGATTCTTGCCACTCCCAGACCCGAAAGCTCTTTAGCTGTCAGCCCATTCGAAGGCTTCATCAATACATTCAGCCGTCCATCGAATGCCTCGACCAGCGCCTTCACTTCCTCTCGGCTCACCCCTCTGCTAGCTCCCCAGACGAAGACAGTCGTGGCGCCCGCCGCCAGGTATTTCTTGCCACGTGAGATCACTTCCGAGAGCTCGCCTCCATGAACAAGGACATCGCTTCTTGCATTCACAACAAAGTCCGGAATACCGAGAGCATGAGCTGTCTTGGCAGCCCTCTGAATTCGTGCTGCAGCTTCATCAGGAGTGTAGAACCTGTCCTCCTCCCTGTTGTAGTCCTCGAGATTGATGCCGACCGCACCAGCCTTGATGAGATCTGTCAGCGCATCCTCAAGCTGCTCTCCATAGCCGTCTTGGAAATCCACTGAAAGAGGCTTTCCAAATTCTTTGATTGAGTTACTAATTGTTTCTGCGGCCCTGAAATTGAGTTCCCTGGTCAGGTCATCATCGCTGCTACCAGAAACAGCAGCAATAGCAAAGCTAGAGGTGGCGATGACCCTGGAAGACGGCAGAGCAGCCACTGCTCGGGCAGTAGCAGCATCGTAGACATTGGCGAGAATGATGGGGTTACCCGGTTTATGCAGTGCCTTGAAGGCTTTTGCGAGAGAGGCTTGAGCGGCTGCCATAGCGTTGTTTGGAAAGTTGACTGCTGCTTTGACAAGAAGTTGTTATTGATCAGGTATCGATGAATTGTCGTGGTAATATAGGATCTTCTAACATTCACAGAGGAGGGGTAATACCATGAATACTTATACTGCCCGTTGGTAACTTGCATCGCCAACAGAGGAAGACCTGATGCACTTATTGCATACCGCATGTTTCAATATGACCAACGTAAGCAATCATCCAGTGATTTGTCATGTAGTATGCTCACTAATGTCGAGCTATAATATGGATCATTTGATGAAGCTTCCGTGATTCCCTGCCACTCGACCAGACTAGTCTTGGATAGGCAATTTGATTCCATCTCCATTCTCCCCTTCAGGATCACCACGAAATGGAGGGTAACAATGCATTACTTCAGCAAAAGTCAAATCATGTAAGAGAGTCCTTGATTGGTCATTCATGATTTGGACATCGTAATTCTCATACGACAGCTGCATTTTGAGCATCTCGAAATCTGTCTGCTTCTCTCTTAAGCATACACAAGCAGCTCGCCACCACAAATGCCTCCACGTCTTTGGCTTTGACCTTTGTTCTTCTCTCGTCTGCCCACATACTCAGATCCATCATCAGTCGCCCGCCGTTGCCGCCTGCACGCTTGCTTGTGCCCTGCGTCCGAAACTCATCATTACGCACCAGTTGCGCGATCCGAACACCCCTTTTCCCCGCCTTGCCGTCTCTCGATCGGACAAAATCAACCCTTTCCAACAGGATGAGCGAATTTGCATCATACTCCGCCCTACACTCGGCTGTGCTACCGTACCGCCACTCGAAGTTGCCGAAAGATGTGTCGAATTTCTGAGTTCGCGAAATGAGGGAGCGGCTAACGACATCCACGACCTCGCACTGGACGTTGTCGGAAGTGATAGCTTCCTCCACGGATAAAGAAGTGTTACGGGGGAGAATTCTGATTTTAGGGTTTCTGCCCGGCCCCCGACGGTAGATGGTTGATATCAGAGGGGTCCGAGTTGTGTCTGAGCCACGCACAAGAGCACACGAGTTGGAGGTTTGCTGCAGTCGAAGAGATATGTACTCCACTTCACCACGGTCCACGGTATAGATGGATATATTCTCAAACGTCCAGCCACTAAGCGCCTGTTCTGTGTCGTATCCTAATGTTTGAACCTGCAGCTGATGTGTCCCGGTGAACGCGGTAGGCGGAGCCGAGCTTGAGGCACCACCCTCGACCTCTTCGTAGTAGGGAGGCGGATCATCTGACTCCGACGATATAGAATCTGTTCGTTGCTTCTCGCCCATTGATTCTTGTGTCTTGGTTGTTGCCTGTTGGATGCATGGGAAAAAAAAAATTCGGCAGTTTGCCACGGTATTTGGCGGCCTCTCACCAACTCTGCCACCGGTGAGTTGTTCCTCACCGCCCGCGGCCCCCCAGATTATAGTAGATAAAGGTCCGGGGCTACACTGGAGTAGCTATGACAGATCGAGGCAATTCGTAACAGCGGCGTTTGTTAGCGGCATGGCTAAGGACGGTACAAGTTGGGCGATCTATGAGGCTTGCCTAGCGACGAATCGCGGGATTTCTCCCAAGCCCGTGCCCCTCTCTACCGTCCTAAAATTTCGTTTGAGTCGAAAAGCTACCGTCGTGGGTTCAGGGGTAGGGGCAGTTGAATCCTCAACTTCGGCATGATCATATGTTGCAGTTTGTACCCGAGAAAGATTAGAAGAAGGGCTTGCTTGGTATCAAGGAATGTAGAAGCACAGCTGAAGCGTGCTCAACTTTGTGATATGATTGAAAGCTTCTAAAGTGTAAAACCATCAAGTTTTTCGTTGTTCCAGACTGCTGTACGCATGGTACGGATACGGCATACCTGTTGGTGTATCTGGAGCGCCGATATTGCTTTGTATGATCGTCAACTCATAGCCTGCATCCTCGTTACCATGGCTACTGTGTGTAAACCTCGGCCCCAAACCATGCATATTAGGACCCATCGTCTGGAAGTCGTTTACACGTAGGCTATCGGCAGATTGGGCGTTGGTGATGGTACGTCCGCTCACAGGAATTTCGTCGCTGGCACGCCTCTGATTCCGGCTGCTCCTTCTATTGCGGGAGCCTTCAGACCATGCACTGCCACTCGAAAATATCTTCAACGACCAGGAAGGTGAAGATGAACTTGAGAATCTGAATCTTGACATCCGGACAAATACGGGCCAGCAGACGGGGAGGCACGCGCAGATGATTCCCGTGCAGACATGAACTGTTGTCCAGAGCGCGGTTAGGCTGAAGTCTGGGTTGCGACTCCCAGGTATATAGCTCAAAATCACTTTGACGACTCCGGACATGATGACGCTGTTGACTGTGTTAGACCTTTGAGTTCAATGCTACTACTATGCTTGAACGAGAAGTAATAGGCTTAAGACTTACAAAACTCCTAGAAGAAACACGGCAACGACGGCAATTTTCCTTCCTCGACTCATTCGTAATCTGTAAACAACCCTGACAGGCATAATGATGATCAGAAAGTCGATCACAGATTCCGCAATACCAGATCCGAGCCAATACAGATTGTAGTTTATACAGTATCGAGGGTCCTCGTCGGCGTTGATCCACGTGTATTTCATCGGGATACAGCTCAAGATATTCGTTATCGTTGTCGCAATCCAGAAAGCGCCTGTTAACAAGCACATGAAAATGACTTGGTAACGAAAGGCGGTGCTAACGGAGAAGAGGCGGTTGTACATGAGGATGATGGATAGTTTGGTCGACGAGACGATCGTGTAGTAGATGATTGTCGCAATGTAATTCAGCTTCGTGTACTCGATATCTGCTTCCGTATACTCGTAGGTCGGATCTTTATTAGAAGCTATATCTGCTCCTTCTGGGTTTACCGAATTTGCTATGATGTATTGTTAGGTCGCCGTAACAATATCAAATGTGGCCACTCCTAAGACAAACCAACGATGATGAGGGTATCGGCTGCGATCAAGGAGAAAAATGACAGCAAAATTAGCCAATCGTCCCAGCCTATACCTGACCGGCTCATATGCCGAGCATAGAAGCGAATGCCGATCAGTATAAGAGATAGGGCTGAGCCAGCAGCCCCGACACCGGTCAAGACATCCTCATGGTCCATTTTTGGGCCACTGGTGGTGACAGAGGGGAAGATGGGGAAGAAGCGTTAGATATGGGCTGCATTTGGACATCAGTTCCTGCTGGCAATGAAAGAGATAAGACGATGACTTGTCGATCATTCCGGTGTGCTTATAGGCTCGGATACTGGCCGCGAGTCGAACCAGTCTGAGACACGCCCAATCGTAGCGCAACACGTAGGGACCAAGACTGCCGATGATCATGGAAAGGTATCACAGTTCAAGGATGGGGCCGTATTTGATTTAAGAATGATAGAAAAAATAACTCTATGTCAAAACCCCCACCGGTTACAGGGTCGCTTATAATAATACCTATCGATGTCGCGTGCAGGTCTGAGCATAATTATGGCAAAATCCCGAACACAACATGGCTCCAAGAAGGTAGCATCGTACAAAAGGACCCTTCGAGAGCCACACTTCATGCGAGGAAGAGGCGAAGTGACGAATAAGAACTTTGGTGGCTGCTCACTGCATATTGGGTGTGACTGTGTCGGCTGATGGTGCGTCCATCACTCTCATCGCTGACATGGATACTGCAGAGTGCCCGCTCTTCGTGCATGTGAATGGATAACAGCGGTTCCTCCTACAGCGTCCCATTTTATTTTGTAGCACCAGAATGAAGCGGCTATTCCTGTGAACAAGGGCGCCAACAGTCTAGACTCCAGAAGCACCAACCAATCCCCCCTTTTGTTTCGGCTATGCGGCTTCTAACTCGCAGATTACTGCATTCAGAACCCGCCGAATGGGATTTTAAAACCCCTATAGCCCGGCTCTAAACTTGGGTCCACTGGCACACTGCTGGTGCCATCAAGAATAACCACGGGCGCGGCGCTGCAAGCCAAGACACGTCAAGCATCGATCAGATCACTTGATTGAAGATGGGCAACAGCTTCTCCAATCAGTTCCCCGTCTCGGGCAGGGTACGTGGTACCATCAATTGCCTAACCCAGATCCAAGAGCAATTGTGCTAATATTCGCGATCGCAGACTGTCGTCATTACTGGAGGTTCTCAGGGCATGGGATTGGCGGCCGGTAGGCAATTGGCTCAGAAAGGAGCAAGCATCGTAATCGTTGCGCGCAACATTGACAACCTAAAGTCAGCAATCAAAGCTATTGCGGTGAGTATCCCATTCCCATGCCATAGAGCTACCTTGCTGACCTGCGTAGAAAGAGGCTTCCTCGCCCGAGACCCAGCGTTTCCACTATGTCAGCGCTGACCTGAGCTCTGAGTCGGAATGCGTCCGAGTCATTGGCGAGGTCGAAGAATGGAATGGCGCTCTGCCTGACATCGTGTGGTGTGTCGCCGGAAGCTCGCGACCGCAGCTTTTCATCGACGCTCCAGCCTCCTCGTTAGACTCGCATATGAAGAACAATTTCTTCTCGAGTGCTTACATGGCTCATGCGATCTTAAGTCGTTGGCTACGCCCAGTCGATGATTCTTCTTCAAAAAAGACAGGCCGCCCAGCGGACCGACACTTAATCTTCACATCTTCGCTGGCAGCATTATATCCGATCATTGGTTATGGCTTGTACAGCCCCTCCAAGCTCGCATTACGAGGTTTGTCCGATGCGCTCTCTCAAGAAATGAACCTTTATAATGCTGCTCATCCCAACGAGCCACGCGTGTGCCTTCACACTATCTACCCAGGAACAATCCTCACTAGCGGGTATGAAGGGGAGCTCAGCACGAAACCAGATGTCCAAAAATCAGCCGAAGAACTCGATTTAAAGCAGACGGCGGACGTGGTTGCCTCCAAGAGCATCGCAGGTCTGGAGAGCGGCAGAGAGTTTATCACAACTGATATAGTGGCCAGTCTGGCAAGACAAAGCCTTCTAGGTAATACACCTCGAGGAGGATTTTTACAGGCTCTTCTGGATGCCCTTGTGGCGGGTATCATCTCCATTGCCGTTTTGATTGTTAGATGGGACATGGACAGGCAGGTTACCGCATGGGGGCGGAAATATGGCACCTCGGCTAAGGTAGACCTGGAGCAAAAGGCATCAAAGTAGATTCAAGTATCTGCTTGCTTTGGAACTCTTTCTCATCACTTCCTTTTCTGGGTTCGTTTGGGTCTGCCATATGACTAGGGAACCAGCCACTATCTCGTCACCAAGAACATTATAATATAACTAATTATCGACAGTCATGTCTGAATCAAGATTCAAATTGATTTCCTATGATTTACGCATACAACTCTATCTCCCGTCTCAACGGCTGTGTCTGGAGAAGATGGAGCAGTGAGAATAATGATACAGCCCTATGACGTGTTTACCTAGCACCGTATGCGTGTCGAATATTTATATCTATTAATGCCTGAGAAGGAAAAAATAAAGTCACGACCGAAGATTAAACTACATATCACAATGTAACCTTCACTGGGGATCGAATACGACGAACCGGCGGTTCATGTGTGCATCGGTCGGCAAAAAGTTAGCCCGTTACCAGAAGCATTCACCTAACGACGTTTCCGCTAAAGAATCACCACATCTCCATCCTTCATCCCAAAATATCCAAAATTATACCAAACACTACCTGGCCTGGTCAGAGCACATCTCAGGTAATCAATTTTGTTCAGTGTGTGATAGGATCTGGCTGCAAATATTTGATCATGGTAGCCACCGAGGGCGCCACCCAGCGTGAACGAAATCGACAGATTGTTACTCGTTACTGGGAGGAGTTCTGGACCAAGGGAAACACAGATATCGTTGATGAGCTCTGTGCTGATGATTATGTCGTGTTCTATCCATTGCATGGTAGAATGGTGGGGAAAGAGGCTGTGAAGCAAATGTTGACCAGCTTCAAAACGGTATGCCATTCCCTCCCTGTGTATGATGCACCGATTATGCCTACATACGCCATGATATCATTATCTCTCTACGCTCTATAAACGAAAGCATATGGGCTAGGCAGTCGGGCAATGAAACGAACTTTTGTCAGGTCCTATGCTAACCAAGAGTCGCAGGCATTTCCAGATATCTCATTCAAGCTTCTCTCCCCATTCCCCGTCATCGCCGAAGAAGATTATGTTGTTGCTCGCTGGTTCGGTGGAGGCAAGCACACAGGCGAGGCTTTTTTGGACTTCCCAATTGGGGGTTTGCCTCAAGCCAATTCTGGCAAGGAAATGCGCTTTTCTGGAACGACAGTGTTCACTCTAAAAGATGGCAAAATTGTAGAAGAGATCGGTGAAGAGTCTGCACTCTCTGCTCTGCAACAGCTCGGGCTGATACAGGGGAACGTGGGACCTCAAGTTGATAGTAAAACGCGATAGACACAACTCCAATTGTCATGCGGTCAATTTACCACTGCACACCGTTTGGCCATGGAGCCGTATCCATTACCGCAGCCCCTAATACTCTCTGTCATAGCAGATTCAGGGAAGAAAGAACGCCTTTGATATCCGGATGCCCAGTGCGACGTAGTAATTGGACTAGATGAGAGGCAAAGAATGCCTTGTGATGCTCTTTTTGGCTGCTCGATGCCGCAATCGAACAAACCCATATAAGTCCATTCTCGCCAAGTGAAAAGGGCGGGATGCTACTAACCATGATTTTCAATCCATCTAAAAGCTCATCTAATCTTCGCAAGGTGTTTTCGACGGTGCTTGCGTCTACATTACGCTCAAATACCCGTGTTGATGTCAGAGAATGGATCTCGCAGGCCAGCATTGTCGCTCTGTCAAGTTTTATGAAAATCTCGCTGATTTTCTGGGTACGGGCACCAGATTCCGAGCCCTCCCCGGCTTGAAGTGACGTCTGAAAGTGATAGATGGGATGTATCAAAGACCTCATTCTACCAAAAGAGCTGTTAATACGATCAATTTGCTTTAAGCTTTTGGCGTTTCCAGGAGACATACACTTGAATTTGGTCCTGCAGAAATTCACGAGAGTCAGCCTCGCTTGAGGTGCTTCCTAGAGGAAGACTCAGTTGATCCCATGAGTTGGCCAGGCCGATCAATGTTTGGAACTCTTGATGGCCGTATATCATGTCGTCTACCAGCAGCCCCAGGATTGTGGCCAAAATGGACAGGCGAGACAATGGGTCGGAGGGAGGATGTTGAGACGCCTCTCTTAAGCCTGCTATAGCCGCCGACCTGTACTCCAGGGCACCAAGTGGTACTTTGCTTGCCTGAGTTATCTCGAGATGGCCAGCCGACGCAGCCAGAATGGCATGTCGAACCATTTGGTTGTTCATGGCCAACGGGATTACATGCTGGGCATATCCATAATTTGAACACTCGGTGATTTCAAGAGACGGCATCACAAACTGGCAAACTGTCAAATGAAGAAAGTTAGTTTACGACGCCGGTTGAGAATGAGCCCATGGAGCCAACTCACAATGATGTAGCAGTCGGACCTCGAGACCACGATACGTATCGATCGGCTGCGGTATTCCCGTTTGGAGTGCGTGAATTGGCATTTGAACCATATTCCACAGGTCAGACTCGGTCTGTATCGGTAGCAATGCAGCCGAAGCCCTCGCCGTTTTCTCGACTGCCCAAATGAAGTGACCAGGAGCCCGTAACATGATCAAGTCACTTGTCGCCAAGGATTGAGGCCGTGGAGGACCGATAACACCAGCAAGGCAGTCTTTCCAATGATTAGCTGCCTCTCCATTGCGCTGTGCCTCTTCACGGAATTGCGCTGCTTCACTTCGGAGCTTGAGCACTTCCTTCTCGAGAGCATCCATGTAAGCTTTCGATCGCTGCCGATGGCCTCTGCGCAATTGATCTCAGCTGCGTTCCCATCAGTTTTATGGGATATGCATTGCGTAGCCATACCTTTGGGCCTTGAGAACTTGTTCACGCCTGGATTTGGGAGACGTCTCCTTCTTATTCAAATCCTTCGCCCCAGTGTTGGTGTCTGCGACCAAAGGGGGCATGAAGGAGACGGTTCCCAGCGCCGCCCGCTCTCGCTTTTTGATCGTCGTCATTCTCCCATCCTCTTCCTCTCAATCGATTGCGCGGTTTCTGTTATTATTTTCAAGCTTACATCCAGAGATTCAGGGTATCTCGGCGAAGGCGCTGTGAGCATGCGAGGGATGAACGCGTCAATGTTATCCATGTCATCAAGGTGGATGCTGACAAATTATATGGAGGTTAGCTTTTCTGTGAATCTGTCCAACGGAAGCGATTTACCCGGTAGCATAGCGCCCTTGTATTTACGGCAAATGTTTATTGAAATCAAGTATTACCATTGTGACTAGGTAGGTAATTATGCATCTCCATAAATGTTTTGTTAGTTGGATACTTTGTGAAGAAGTACGAGATAAAGCCTGCAGCTCAGACAATGCAAGACCTTCAAAAATGATTTGCATTCGGTACGCGTTAAGAACGCTTAAGGGCGAACACCAACAAAATGCAAATCCCAGCGAGCAGAAGAAGATCTATGGTAATGCGGAAACCTGAACTTAATTTCCAGTTTGTTGGGTTCTTGCGTCGATGCTCCTCCATGAACGCTTCCCATTCAATAGGATCCAAGTTTCCCAACCTCATTGCGTATCTCATGAGGTCATCACGAGTCTCTCCAGAGCCAGACTGAAGACTGCGAACGGCTGATTTGACCGGTTTTGGCCAAACATTCTTTTTTCTTCGACTCAGATTGTCAATGAGCCTCCACCGAATGAAGTCCACAGGGCGCATCTTGAGGACTCCTGCATCATGTAACGGCTGGAGAGTCTCCAGATATGGGCAGATGTCCACGGGCAGCCTTGAGTTGCACAATCCGTCGCCGGGTATAGCAACCACTGTCAAAAGCTGGTTCGGGTGAAATTCCGAGTCGGGGCCAAATTTAGCCATGACCCTCTCACATTCACTCTTTTTCCTCTTTACAGTGGGTTTTTGGGGATCCTTTGTATGATCCGTCCACATATCGATCGAACGCCAACTGCTCTGCCAGTGTTCGCCATGCTCCTCCATTTTCTCAACGGGAACACCCTGCATCAGTGCAGGGGAGATGAAGGTAGTTTGACTTTCGTCGAGCTTGAAGACGCGCTCGAAAGGAGTTCCGAGCAAGTCCACCGCCTCTTGAATGTATTTGAACTCGCCCTCTGGTGGCCTCCCCTCGCGCGGCGCTCTTGGCGTCTGCATTTGCCCAGGGCAAATTCTTTCGAGTCGCCCTTCAAAAGTGCGGCCAGCTTCTAGGCAGTTTCTTCCTGAGACGGACTGATTCGTGTTAGTCTTGGTCGAATTCGCCGGAAGCCAAACAGAGACTTTGGAAGTGGAAGATGAGTTCGACTACTCACGTTTGGTAATGGCTCTTCATAGCCCTCTTGAAGGCTATGCCTGGTTTGTGCGAAATATGTTCCCATTTTGGCTAGTTTGAAAAGGCGAGAAAGTGAGTTGTGGTTGGATCTTAGTCTTCACGTCGTTACTATAAAGCGTTCTCATTAGTGAAGGTTTCTCTTGAATTAATGAATATGGCATGCCAATCTGCGTGATAAATTTTACCTAAATGATAGCTTGAAGGCTTTCAACAGTTGCGCATTCGCGACCAGCTATTAGTGTCAGGTAGCGGTACTTGGTGATTGAAGTTTGGTAGTTGATGGGGAAAAGAATGAAAGCAGGTTGGCGAGGCGTAGAGGAGTTGGAATAGATTAGAAGCTCCTTATGTAGTGGGTTTTGGAGCAAAACAATATACACAATGAACAAAACAACCTTTTGCGAATGCATTCCTAAGGCATTTGAATCTATGCTCAGTAATAAATTTGCCATTTCGGTATAAAAGAGCTTGGAGCATGAGAAAGAGGGATGCGGTAGTATAGTCGTTCCTTGCCTCATGTACCGGTATGCATGTGAGTTATGGAAGAGAAAAAGCCGCGTCAACCGAAAATAATGAGAGGCAAACACGTTTACAGCCTCCTAGCTGGACTCGTGTATAACATATATTTTGAAATCCGTGATAAAAAGTCGCTTGTAAGGCAAGCCGTTATGAAATTTCTTTGTAAGGCCTCTCTAGGCGGAATTTACAGGAACGGATGTGTTGGACGCACCACAGTGGAAATCAGCACAATGAGTGCCTCGAGTTGTCTTTGGTCGCCGGAGGCAGCAGGTGTTCACTTATCCTTAGCCGCCATGACTACTTGCAACCCAGCTTCTAAATTATAAAGAAAGAGGCTTTGGCTAACTGGACGCCATAATAGCCACCATACATCCTAATCCCAGGGGATAGCGGGGCGTATCATTTCTATTTCTAGGGTCCAGGTTCAGTATTCTATTCGGTACGACTCTTATTTCACAAACAACCGCGGGATTATTCTGCATTTTCTTCTATAGCACAGTCGAAGATAGCACGAGTTGTGTATGAATTCGGCATTCAACTATATGTACATATAAAGCAACTTTTCTTTAATAGTTTGATACACAATGGCATCATGATGGATACACGATCTTGCCATCTAAGCTTTTGAACCTGATTGACATATTTGGGATGTCCCAGTGCGATGGGACAGCACTAAAACAGGGAAACCTCCTCAAATGTCTCCTTCTTAGGTTCGAACGGCGCACTTGTTGTCCCTGCAGGTCAGGTCGTCGGAACAGTCGTCGGCAGTCGAGCAGGTTGCTCCTTTTTCGCAGAACGGTAAGTCAGTCTCCCTGTCATAAAAAAACTCGCTATCGAAAAAAGAAATTACTCACCGAGGCAGTGACCAGCCCACTTGCAGGTAGCAGTGGCAGTAGGTGCGGCAGCGCTCGTGGTGGTAGGGCTAGAACCAGAGCCTCCGCTGCCAATCTTGCTGACCAGCTTGTCGCCAAGGCTCTTGATGCTGCTATGGAATTCGTCAAAGCTGCCAGCAGCCCAGTTGGCACCCTTTGCGCCGGGGACAGCATCCTTGCCGGTGAAACCAATGTAGAGGACATCGTAGTCGTTGTGGCTTGATCCATCTTCATCCCTACCGCTCATCTTCTGACCGTAGCAAGCAGTGGCAAGCGAAAGAGAAACTTCACCAACACTAGGGCGAGGACCATTGTCGGCATTCTCGTCACCCCAAACACCGTAGAACTATATCAGAGCACACATCAGTTTCTGCAATTAAGAGCGGTTCATAAGTAGCTTTACCATCTTGTCACCACAGACAACAGCCATGACACTAGCCATCTCCATGCCATACTCCGAAGGTTCAAACGTAGGGAAGCCCTTGCCGTTCTCGCCGCTGTTTCCGAAAACAACGTAGGGGTGGATGTGAGGGTTCAGGTCGCTGATTCCGGCATTGTAACCAGCGACGGTCAGCCTGGCTGAGGTTCGTGACTGGGTCTGTGGGGTGTCGCCGCAGCGAGTATCGCCGTTGATGGGGGCCTGAGTGCCATCGCAGTCCACATCCATGTTGGAGAACATGCCCGAACTCTTGGTGCCTTTGCTTGGACCCGTGAGGTAGATGATGCCACTGTCCGCCATGTGATCTCCGCAGTAGGACATGTCTGTGTGTATGGGGTTAGGCGAGGCATCTTCGGATCTTTGAAGCAGTTCAACACACCTGGGCCACCGAATTCATCATTATAGAACCCGGAAGAGAGCTTGTTGTCACATTTTCCCTTTGCCTTGACATCGTTGTAGAATTGTCTGACGTTAGCAGGGACATCGAGGCCAAGCGCGCCGGGCAAGGCCGTGAACAGAAGAGCAGGGATGAGAAGAGACATCTTGGTAATTCTAGAGAAAGAGCTTATGGGCGATGAGAACTGTAGACCAAAGAATGTCACTGCAAGAGAGGAAATTGGTGTGAGGACTGTCAATCTTTTAAAGGAATGAGAAGAGCAGAAAGGCTCATACAGATGTAACAATCGTTTACGTGCCGTCTCGCCCGTGAATCGTATACCAGCCAATTGTGTAGTTGTTTGTAGGAGGCGTGTTTCGAAACAGGCTTCAATTCTCTTTGATCCATTAGACGCTTTCCTTTCTGGGGCCCCATGTCTAGAATAATATACTTTTTGCTAAAAACAATTCTAAACGGACCATGTGTGGGCGACACCCGACGTTCGGATTTATGGTTAGCTGAACCCCGGTGCTGGGCTACTCCTGAAGGATCAAATTGCTCGGCACTACCGGCAGAGATCAACTTGGCAAGACGAGGGGAAAGTATTGTAGAAGTCACCAGAAAAAAGCAGTAAAGGTCTTTTACAATGATGAATTTACGAAGAAGAAATGAAACATCCGTAGACCCAACGCCTATTTACTGATTGTACTCGTCATGGTGAGGAACACAGAAGCTTACCAGTGTCAGCCTCGCCCGTGTGGAGAGCTGATCGAACCTAGCTTGTTTCAAATACATCCCGACGTGCCGATTTCCGAGTTTTGCCAAGATATTTTTATGATACAACGACTCATGGAGTCTCCTGATGAACAGTCTGCATCGAAATCTGAGGAAACCACCAGCAGACACTTGGTGCGGCCCAGGTTCGTTTGGCCATATAGATACTCAACACCGCGATATTGAGGTAAGATGAGTAAACAGATTTGCTCTAGGTCGATGGAGCTCGCACACTTCTGTGAAGGTAATTATCTCGTATGCTAGATCAATGCAGTGTCCTTCCTCTTTCTCATCCCACCTTAAAATAGAAACTTTCATAATTCCGTCTTTGTCTATGTTATGCCTGTCTGTGCTTTCGAAATGGAAGGGAGTATATATGCAGTAAATCCTTTTATGCATATTCTAAACCCAGCGCCGCCGATATGCTTAATCTGAAATCGAAATTGGGCCACTGCCTAGTATTCTTCTGGTCCCAGGAATTCACTAACATCACCATGCAATGGCCCGTGGGAATATTGCTTATCATTGAAGTGGCGTGACCAAGACCATCCGGTTCGATATTTCATAGCAGTCAAACGCTTCTCAAACTCCTCAGCGGCCAAATCAGTTTGGGTCAGGCTGAACGTTATCGAGATAGCAACGTCTGACGCGTCTAGTGGAAGGCATTGGTTTTCCAGATCAAGCAGCAACTTCATCACGAATATTTGGGACACTTGACCCCAACCCTCAAATATTCAGCATAAATACCAAGCCAAATATAGTTACCATTAGTAACGTGCTAGATAGATTTTGAACCAATCTCTTGAAATGGGTATATGACATAGCTACTGTAGTAGGACGTAGACCTATATGCGTCTGATATTCCATCTGGATCTAGTCATGGGGGTAGGTGGGCATTTTATGCTGCCGAAAGACGACACTGGCAGTGCGGCCGCTCGGGGATCTTGCAATCTCAACCGAATAGCGATGCGAGTTTGCTAAGCACCGATGGGGACGCCTGCCCCCAGGTCTGGGTCGTTGCAATTGAGAGGAAATGTGAACTTACCGGTTTCTAAATTGCCAAACCCCATGATAGAAAATGTCGGATTCAGGACTACCGCAACGGGTTGGAGTTGACGAGTAGGTGTGTCGTCACGGAAGTTGAGTTTCCATGACTGAATTTCGACAAACTCATCTTGACATCAGCGGTTAAAATTTGAAACAAGTTGGAACAAGCTTGGCGGCTGGGGTGGTGACCTTGACTTCCTTTCCAGAGCCCAATTACATGGACAGCCTTCGACTTGCCGTCATGGTCGTAACCAGCGTGGTTCAACTACACAGTGCACCGTAGCCCAGGAAATCATTTATCGCTGACGACATGAAATGCATGCAACCCAATTAAAATCATTGCTATGAGACTCTCCTCGTCAATGACGAAGCACGAAATGCGTTCAGCACAAACGCCCCACCGTTGGGCGACCCTGGGAGATCAAGTTTTGCTTTCTGTTTGGATTTTTATCAATCGAGCTACTTTTCGGCCTATTAAATCCACATCAGACGAGTAAATCCCACATTTAAGAATGTTTGATTGGAGGTAAATTGCAGAACAGGTTCTTCTTCCTCGACTCATTCAGTAGGGTCTTGACCACTTCAGCATCAAGAGTTGATACGTAGGCGTGGAGCTGTATTGATGTCGTGTCAATTGAGATTGCTCAGGCCTTCGAAGAAGCATGTGTTCAGCACAGACCATGATTCACCGCTTGAGAAGAACCTGAACTTGTTGTCACTTTGGACAAGTGGCTCTGGCAGGGGTGGTCCAGATCAGATGGTCCCTTGCATTGTTCGAACCAGTTGGCGGTCAACGGAAGAGCCCATAAAAACCTGCTGGAATATTGGCCAAGTCAAGCCTAATACTTAGCTGGGCTCGTATCTATGTGTAAAAAAATCAACAAGTCAGCAGCCGTATCGGGAGTGGCCTGTCCAGCTCAGCTGCCCCTCCTGCATTCGTGCCTTATTAGGTATTGAGTGACAAAATGATTCTGCAGCTTTCATTGCTAGAAAAGGTGGTCAAGACACCGGCCATTTCGCCAACCATAAACATACCTAACACACAACTACGCCGTTCCTCATGCGCCTCATCAATGTGCGCAACTATCAGCTTGAGACCTTCTTGGGCTCAGATATCCCACCCTACGCGATCCTTTCTCACACCTGGGGCCGCAATGAAATCACATTCGGGCAGATGCCGCTCCAGGTGCCCCCTGCGGTAGCAGACGCCAGCCAAGAGGGGGACCTAGAAGGCGGTTACATGAAGATCATCTATGCTTGCAAGCAGGCTCTGTCCGATGGCCTAAACTATGCCTGGGTAGATACGTGCTGCATCGACAAGTCCAGCAGTGCAGAGTTGACGGAGGCCATCAACTCGATGTTTCAGTGGTACCATCAGGCAGCAGTTTGCTACGCCTACCTCTCGGACATCGACAGCGACAGTCGAGTCCACGGCATGATGGTCTCGAATGGAATAGAGAGGAGCAAGTGGTTCAGCCGCGGCTGGACCCTCCAAGAGCTTCTTGCGCCCAAGAAGCTTCAGTTCTTCATCCGAGGGTGGAGATATGTCGGCACCGTCGATGAGCTGCAGGATGTAATCGAGGAGCGAACTGGGATAGAGAGGATGTATTTGACAAAGGACTTGTCACCCCTCATGTGTCGCCACGCCAGTGTCGCCACGAGGATGAGCTGGGCTTCAGGGCGTCGGACGACCCGGCTTGAAGATCAAGCCTACTGCCTACTCGGACTTTTCGATGTCAACATGCCCTTGCTTTACGGAGAGGGCGAGAAGGCTTTCATCCGTTTACAGGAGGAGATCATGAAGTCCTCTGATGATGAGACCATCCTCGCATGGAATTGGAAGAATGGATCAAGAACGGTTGGCCAAAATGTTCACGGCTACCTGGCAATGTCACCAACGTGCTTTTACAACTGCCATGATCTGCGTCGTTGGCCTAGCAGTGGAGGAGAGGCGAACTTCTCGGTGACGAACAGAGGCCTTCAGGTCAGTCTGCCCTTAATACACAGGGGTGGAGATAGGTACGATGCGATTCTCAGGTGCAATACCAGTATGGACATCGACCGAGCAGTGACTTTACCTTTGGTGAAACTGGGGCCCGGCCACGGAGGGCTCTTGAATCGAGTTCCGTACTTCTCCCGTTCAGACCAAGTCACCAGCATAAAATTCGTTGGAAACGAAACGTTGCGCTCTACCACAATCTGCATCTCATCCCGCCCCTGGTGGCCCCAGATCATTCACGACGCGGAGACCATCCAAGGGTTCTACATCCGCAACTTACCCGCCGGATGCCACATCACCCACACATATCCCACTGATGGTTGGTCGCCGGCAGACAACTTTGCGACCATGAAAGAAGCCAATGACGGCTACGAGCCGCGGTACTTTTTTGGTTCCTACTACTTCGAGAACTTCGTGATTCGTCTTGAACATATAGCAGACAGATGGGTGTGCAAAATTGCAAGTGATACAGAACCTGCGTCCCCAGCGCTTAAGAAGGCCCTGGGCAGGTTAACCTTTAACGAACACGTCGAGCTCATGGATCGCAGAATGACTGTGTCTGCGAGGTTAGAGCCTATACTGAATGGCTTTCTCATCGTCATCGACCTGCGCGAGAGGACCGAGTGGGTATGGGAACTTGGAGGTGTACTACTAGGGGCATTGGGTGCCGGAGCCGCCCTCGCTGCTGTAGGATCTGTAACTAAGCGGCGCAGGAAGAAGTCTGTTTGAGAAAAGGAGCTTATCATTACCAAGATGAGGACAGCTAGTGGTGAAGCTTCGAGACGAAATGATTGATGATTAGAACTAGACTTAGATTGTACCCGATAGTCATTGAAATGCTCTTGCTATGATTTCTAGTTGTAGAACACCCATTAGATTTTCAAGGTTTAAATCAATCAAGGTTCATTTCTCCTAGTGTGTTCAGTCCAAGGTCCGTATCTTGGAATCCTATGAGTCCCTGATCGTACAGTGCTTTCGCTACCGGATACACAGCCCGGGCAAAATTACTATGTTGAGCCAACACAAATGACGGGGTGATATCGTTGTGCTTGAACCCGTGTCTCTCTTTTCTCGGGTGGAATGCGTGTAACAGATACGTGCAAGACCAGTCATGGGCCCATTTTGGAGTCCAGCCCAGACGAGAGGCAAGACCAAATAGCCGCATATCTTCTTCATGCGTATGAAACAGCAAGCTCACATCCTCGCTGTCCCAGCTCCCCGGCGCGAACGCATCCTGGTGGAGTATCTGAATATCACACCCCTCTTCCGTACGTTCTCCCACATGCGTAAGGGCGATATTGCTATGCGTTGTCCACTGGCCATCGTATACCCGTGTCATTCGCTCCATCCACCGCTTCATGACCCTACCGCCCTTTATTGACATGAATGTCCCACTGTTCAACTCACCGGCATGCTGCCTTCCAGCAACGGCACCGTAGCCACACTGTCGAAGATCTTTGATATCTCTGAGTGGGAAGACATCCATGTCAATGTAAATTCCTCCATAATCATAGACGGCCTGCACCCTGACAAAATCCGACTTGTGCTCAATACTTTGAATCTCCTTTCCGTTCTCCGCGTGCGTTGGCACCCTGACTTCATTCACAATTAACACAGGAAGCGTCAAGACCAACGCGCTCCACTTCCCCGAGGAACCGCTCATAGCACGCGCGAGAGAGGCGCTGTCCGCGTTGGTGTGTAGATATATTTTGTCTGGTTTCCAGTAGTAACAGGCAGAGAAAATGCTCAAGAAATGGCTGAACTGGAACTGCAAATCATCAGACGGTCGAGGGACAAGGTACACATAGTGCACAATATTGGGAATTGTGTGTTTGCTTGACCGCCCATCACAACTCGACGCGCTCTTTTCTTCTAGCCTGCATACTGAACTCAGCGTCGGAGAAATCCCAAAGGAGCGAAAAGAGAGACTGGGCGGCTGGCGGAAGGATAAGAGTAACCAGAAAAGAAGAATGAGCGCTACCACTATGGCAGAGCGCTTCCTGACAAGCATCGGAATTGACAGATGGCGCTCCCTCTATCTCATTCCAGTGATTGAATATTTTAGGTGACAGTCCATAGTGAGCATGAAAACGGCGAGTGTAGATGGGCTGGTCCAGGGGGAGGGGCGTGTTAAATGAGCCTCCATCCAAGCACAAGGACACTGCACTTTTAACACCTGTATTGTCACGTGTCAGTAACTACAAATTAGCGGCCGATTACGAGCAGTAGCTGATCAGTAGCCCAAAATTGGAAGCCTATAATTAGCCTTGTGTTACACCCTCAGCCACTTGACCTGAATCATCACATTCTTCACGGAGAGCCAGGATCAATGCATGTACGAATTTGACTCACGGTCGGAATTCCAATTCAATGAAAATTATGATGAGACATCCCTACTTAAAAGACTACAATGTTCTATTTTCCTATTTAGCGCGCTTACCAAGTACCTGTATATAAAGCAAGTTTGACCACACAATTTTTGAGCGAAATCGACTACTAGCAGATCTTCTGCAATGGCAGTCTGTCAGACTAAAATGGCTGATAAGCTCTAACCTTCGAAGTTCTCAGAATACGAAGTTTCGCCATTTCAGCGAGTCGCCGAGCCAAAATACCCAAAAGCATTGTAGTTCCAGTGTAACAGCGGCAGACACCCCGTGAAGTGAATTGTGCCGTTCTATCGATCTCATTGCTACCTCAAATGCTTTGACAGTTAGGTAAGAGCCCTGAGGCAAAGAGTCAGAGAAAGCCTCCTCGTAATTGCCCTTGAGTGATTGGTCCGGTTCTAAGCGAATGCAATGGCCCGGTATACTAAATTCCATGACAACAGCTCTCATCCCCTGCCCGGAGAAGTAACGGAACGAAGCCCTCATATGACGTGAAGCTGGAGAACTGACTGAAATAGTACCCAGTTTCGGACTAGTTTGTGGGGCGACCCTTGCAGTGAAGTTGCATCGAAACCTTTATGAAAGCCGAGACTCCGAAGGGAACACTGGATAGAGTGACGAATAGGAGGATAGCTATTCACGGCAGACTGAAATTGTACCTCTATTGGGACTACGGTCGACGACAATCTTACGTCTATTCCCACGAGTGAAAATCCTACATCTCGGCGTGACTCCGACCATGTAAGCAGGTACAATGTAGGTTCGACGGCATCAACCGATCCTAATTTTTCGCTATCTATAAATGAGAGAGCTTTCCCACTGTTCAGAACTCAAAAAATCATTCTCATCCATATCCAACACCCGAAATGTCCTCTCCCACCTTCATCACAGTTGGGGGTGCCATGCCCCTTGAGGCACGCCTAGCTCTCAGGCAGGAACTGCTCGATGCGGATGACAAATTTGTTCTTGAGCTTCCCAAAGTCGAACTACATGTCCATATTGAAGGAACTCTGACGCCCGAGTTGAGATGGGAGCTTGCCAAAAGGAACGGCCAGACACTCAAGCTCGAGCGAACCGAAACCGTGTACACCAGCCTGGAACAGCTGCGAGCATCGTACACCATCATGGAACCTCGGCCTGGCCATAGTATCGACAATGCCGAAGAAAGTTTTACTTTTTTCGAGGCTTACTATGGTGGCTTCGAGGTACTTGTGACGGAACAAGACTTCTTTGATCTGGCTATGAATTACTTTCGACGAGCCGCTTCCATGAACGTTCGCTACTGTGAGCCTTTCTTCGACCCTCAGGGTCACACACGCCGTGGAGTTTCTTGGGCAACCATGATGGGGGGCTTCCGTAGGGCCCAGCAGGAAGCTGAGAAGAGCCTAGGTGTACGTTAACAGCGGATCTTATTCTTCACCACATGCTAACCAAGAAAACAGATCAAGTCGAACTGGATCATGTGTTTTCTCCGCGATCTACCAGTGGAGTCTGCCATGGAGCACTATCAAGCCGTTCTCCCATACCGTGATATGGTCGTCGGTATTGGCCTAGATTCGGACGAGACTAATCGGCCTCCCTCTTTATTTGCAGATATATTCGCCTTAGCCAGACAGGCCGGCTTCCGCCTGACTTGTCACTGCGATGTGGGACAACCAACCACACACGAAAACATTCGGCAAGTGGCATCGGTCCTTGGGGGATCCGGTGCAGAGCGCCTGGACCATGGTTTAAATGCTGCGCAAAGCCAAGAGTTGATTCAACTAATCAAGAAGAACGGTGTTGGCATGACCATAACACCGTGGGGTTATCTCCGTCATCAACCAGTTAATGAGATTTTCCCGAGAATTCGGACATTATTTGACGCGGGTATTCCGACCGCGATTGGGAGCGATGACCCCCCATATATGGAGGACTGTTGGATTATACATCATCTGCTGCTAGCCAAGAAGATGTGTGTATTCACTGACCATGACATGGCAACTTTGGCGAGACGTTCTGTTGACATGTCATGGGCATCGGAATCAACAAGGGCGGAGATCAGGGAGGAGATAGAGAAGGTTGTGGCTAAGTACTTGGATTAAGAACTCCGAACAAATGTTTTTTAAATATAATGATTCTTTGTACGCATGCCAACTTATGCTAGCATTATGGTACGCCCGTATGATCCATTTGCAGCGAGATCGCCATTGGTACGTTTCTCCCAAACAAGCTCTAGAGTATCAGCTGCGTTCCTGAAATGGCTGCAACCAACAGCTTCATACGCCTGTTTTAATCTCGATCTTATGCAATCTTTTTCCAGCAATTGCCCACTATCAAGGGCAACGCCAGCTTGAAAGATAGGCCATAGCAAGGAGTAACTCCAGGAGCTAACCGGATGTATGAGTTTTGCGTGATGGAGGACCTGGCTCGTCAAATGTGATCTTTGGACGGTCTTAGAAGTAGTCGGGAACAGCTGTGCCAGATAAACCATGATGCCAAATCGCCAACCTTCAACCATGTGTTTCCGAGATCCAGATAAAGTTCGGCGGGATTCCCATTTTCTAAGGCGGCCCATCATGTAATCAACATGTTCCAGCTCCTTCTCTGTTGGATCATCTCTATTGGGATGTGATTTGTATAACATGGTAACATCCACAAGCATCTCGAACAGGTCGATTGGACATGGAAAGACGTCATAGCTCCATTCTCTGCCGTCCGCATTTGAGTGACGATGGAGAGCCATATTGATTTCTTTGACCGTAAAATTGGGAGCTCGGGCGGAAGACGTTGAACTGATGAGGTCAAGCCTGTAGGGAATGTTAAGTTAAAAGATACGCTTGAAATCAGAGCTCTCTCCACTGACCATACAAGCCGCTGTTCGAAATAGTATCTATTCACACTCTGTTCATTGTGCCGGCCACGTAAAATAGCAACCGCTGCCTTTAAGTGTGTCTCAAACTCGATGCAGTCTCCTGAGCACATCTACTTGCGGTTAGACAGCTACTTATCAGTAACATGCTCGAGCCGTCATGACTTACATCAACCTGAGCTAGCATAAGTATGCTGGCTAACGTAGCTTGGTCCGTTGCCATGCTTGGGTCGTTCAGCCTCTCCCTGAGGAAATGCGTTGCACGGACACGTAAATACAAGCTCTTTTGCTCCAATGCCTGATCTGAGTTTCTGGCTGCCATGTGACATGACGCTGATGCGGCGATCGCGAACCGTACGGGGGGCACGCTATCTACCAATGGGAGTACGTAGCAGAACATTGGGTTGTCTCCCGATCCATCGCCAAGGTAAAATATATTGCTAAGATCATCAACGTCTGTGGTTAGGTAGTTAAAGTTAGCATATCAATATTTGAATGGGGGTAAGAGGGCGCCTTGCAATGGATGACCAGTTCCGTTATGTCATTATCCTCAATATGGGTTGCGCTGTCTGCTGCCCAGGATATAGAATCTACGACATCATCGTTCGTTATCGCATTTCCATCGTGTTGCCCTGAACCATGGTTGGCGGATTTATGAAGATCAGCCTGGAGAGGTTCCGCTACAGATGGTAGAGTACGCCGACCTCGCCCTGAGTTTCCTTTTGGTGTTGTAATCGAGCTGTTGCTCACAGGGATAGATTTTCCAGCAAACTTGCCACGCGCGGCTACTCCTGGCCATCTGGTTACATAGCCTTCGCAAAGCACCCCTCGGCGCTCACAGCTCAGGCAGGTTGGAAGTGTCCGATCGCATTTTCGTCCTCTTCGGCGGCAGACCTTACACGCGGTGCCGTGAAGTGCTTTTTGGCTCATCTCGATAAAACCTGGGGCCGGCACGCTGCTATTAGGTGTATGTTAGCTTACTCGTAAGAATGGTGAGTTTTCCGGGCTGCTTTGTTTGATCAGGGAGTCGTTGCCGGCCATGACTCATTTGAAATAATTCGAGGGCAAGACTAACTCCGTGGAGAATAAGCGGGGAGGATGCGGGGAGAAACTCCATCCCATTTCACTTTCTGGCTGCTCCATTCTTCCACGTGAAATGCAATCGTTCCTATCTCACGATAGAAGCATTGCCGATTCTGTATGTCAACATTCCCCATGTTCAAGTATGTGGCAGCTAAAATCCTAAACACACTGCTGCAAGTTGTAACTGCTTGACTGATACCTAAGGTAGCATTAGACTCGCACAACTGCTCGAATAAGTCGATTGCGTTTATACTTTGGTGCCGATTAGGCTTTTCCTCGGCCTCTTTCTTTATAATCAAGGGTTCATGAACGAGTATCGTCCCGTCTCATCAGACGTATTAAACTAACTCCCATGTCTATCAATGTTGCCACCCCCACGAACCCCTAATGCTCCTTTCGCGGCAGATAGCCGGGATTCCAGTCATAGTTGCAGGGAAGACTTCGTACCTTGTCCAATCAGAGAAGACCATTGAAGTTCTATGTGATAAGAGTGCCTGCCAAGCGCCAGGATTGCCCTATACTTCCACTCCCTGGCGGATCAGCCGGAGCTCATTTCACCTATAAACCAACGGAATAGCTCACGCCTATAACATAACTCTTCCACGGTTCTAGGATTATCCCTTTGATGATAATGGGCCATCGGTGGGAAAAGGTATCTCAACTTGCAGAATAAACCCCAATTCAATTGGTCTTGAAGTCTGCTTACGCAGCTATTCCCGTCATTTGACGCCGCAGTGCTGGGTTCTAAACGCACGAGGTTAAACAGCTTCCTAATTAGAGTACAGACCTGGCCGCGTGCTTACTTCTTACACTCTTCACAAAGAGTTCCAATTCGTAAGCGGAATATATATTTCTGATTCTCGGCGTCAGCATTTGCCAGGCCTTCTCATACTTTCTACCTAAACATTGAAAACCCTTCTATATACGATGAGATCCCTAATTGCCTCGAGCGGCCTCTTCTTTCTTAGTGTCGCGGCTCAAGCCTCGCACACCATCGACAACCCACTTCCCGTCATAACTCCTCAATTCAACTCGCCCTCTACTGTATGGAACGACCTTTCTGATGCTCTACCCGTGGTTCCTTCTACAATAGAGCCATTTGAGTCCGGCTACTCTTTCGCATCATGTGGTGCTGGAACCGGCGACGGCGTGGAGGAATATGACGCTTATAATATATTTTATGATGACTGCCCCGAACCTTGGCAGGTTTGCCTCCACAAAGATAACGGAATCTCTTTAGACTCGGTAGCAGAGGTACGTGTCGACGAACTCCTGCATATTCCAGAAAAGCGACTAGTGAGTTAACACAATCGATGCGGAAGATGTTTGGAAAGGTGCCTGTAGGTTTCAGGCAATACGTGCGTGACTTGACCGTTGGCAATAATTCTGTTGCATTCTGGAAAAACACATCCCTTGTTATGTCGCCGAACTTTTGGAGGATTTATGTCATGATCCACGAATCTACACACGCCGTTGATCTTCTCAGCACGGCGGATCTTATCGCTTTGGATGCCGGAACCTATAGCGACTCTCAGGAATGGCGCGATGCCTACTATTCCGACAAAAGCGTCCCGACTACGGGTTCCAACTATCTCTGGGAGGAAAGCTTTGCCGAGATGGGGCCTCGGGCCTTTTATGACTGGTATGTTGAAGGGGGGCTCGCAAATTTCCAGCCGAACTGGAGCGAGGTAAGATTTATCAAGATTCATTTTTAGGAGGAAACCGAGTTGACATAATCACAGTTTGAAAACCAGCTGTCCACTTTCAAGTCTCTTGTTGGACACCGGGCGCAACTTGGAGGCACCTGCGAATTCCGTGTCGCCAATGAGCCTGCGGTACCAACTTCGAGCACCAGCCGGCGACGAAGGGGGCCTGCCCCTGACACTAGTTTCAAGTCAGACATCCGTGTGATTCGAGTACCGGATAATCTACCAACCTTTGAGTTTACCGAGTAATAATAAATCAAAGCCCTATGGTTTTATCAATTTTGAGGTTGAGAATTGTGCGCTCGAGCATGCACGTTTATCATTACTTGAAGTAGTTTTGAGTTGAGTCTGTCCGAGAGAGGCTTTACTTGAAGATGAGGTTATCTAGTAATTATTATGTAGTTACGTGATATCTTTACTTGTTCCAATGCTGTCTCGTTTCGTCCTGATTTCAGTCTAATTAAGGTTGGATTGTATAATAGGACTTTCTCCTGTGCCACATGGTTTATCACTATTTCTCCTATCGTTTAATTAGTTCCGCATACAGGAACTAGGAAGTTACTCGTCTTTAGTTAAGTGGTTCACAACACCGATTGTAAAATCGGGAAGAGTCAATTATGCAAACCGAAACTTCACTTCATAGCCACCAATGACTCAAGGACAATTAACTATCCCATGTACTAGCTTGCGATACTCTTTCCTTTCCATCACCTCTGACTGCATCAGGTGTAGGGTAACATGCTCCTTGGCCATGTTTGTGTCTCAATAATGGCTGAAGTCTACATCATTAGCACCGCAAATAAGCTTATGGAATGACTGATGAGTCCACTTTTGGTCGGTGTTATCCTGAGTCTCAAAGCCGCAAAAACTGCGATCTTGTCAAACAAGTGACCGCGTTTCCTTGATGGGATACCTGTTCGCGGACCCCAAGCAAGTTACGATGGAGCTGGTCCGGATGTTGGTTTCAGGTTTGGCAGGGATGTTACGGTGGAAGCTCAGCCTTGGCAGAAGGCCGGCTGGCTAACTGAGCGGTTACGACCCCGGGATCATTTTAATTGAAGGGAGCAAAAGCTTCTCCGAGCACCCCACCTGTTTCGTTTAACCATCTGACGAGGAGCTATCTTGTTTCAATCCACGTCACCGTCTGCTTGGCAGGCTTCGTTTCACAAGGCTTTGAACCTAAATCAGGCAACCCCACAGCTGGAATCAACCCTCCGAGTCCGCAAAAGAGTAGTTGTCTGATCAGAGCGTTTGGGGTTGTGATACGGGATCCAGTAGAGCTGATACCTACAGATAGTTTAAAAAGTAATTGTCTATCCTAAATTTTTCTCATTGCTTGTATCTTCAGTCATATTCTTTCGTTGTTTTTTCCCTCATTCGCTACATAGATTCGCGCTGGACGTGACTTTCATTTATTTCCCACCAACTTGTCCACTGAGATTCAACAAAAATGCGTTTCGCGACTTCTACTCTCTTGACTGCCGCTGCAGCCACATCGGCGGCTGCCCAAAGTGTTGTGGGAACGGCATACGGGTTTGCAACGGGTGTTACGGGCGGCGGCAGTGCCACCGCTGTTACTCCCTCTTCGGCTTCGGAGCTCGCTTCGCTGCTGTCCGACGACACCGCGCGTACGATCATCATCGATAAGGAATACGATTTCACTGGTAAAACCGCGACGGACTCTGGATGTGACCGCAAGAGCTGCAGTGCAGACAATGGTGGTCAGCTTTATCTTGGAACCTTGTCCTGCGGAGGTTCCGATAATGTGGCTGTCAGCTCTATCACGTATGACGTTGCTGGAACTGAGCCTCTTTCTGTTGGCAGCAACAAGAGCATTCTTGGCGTCAACGGCAAGGGTGTTCTCAAAGGAAAGGGATTATCTCTAAAGTCGGGGGCCAGCAACGTCATTATTCAAGGAATTGAAATCACCGATCTCAACCCTGGCATTGTCTGGGGAGGTGATGCCCTTGAACTCAAGGGAAAGAATGACGGCGTTTGGGTGGACCACAACAAATTCAGCCTGGTCGGCCGCATGTTCATCGTCACCCATTACGACGCCGCCAGAGTGACCATCTCCAACAACGAATTCGATGGAACAACTACCACATCGGCTTCCTGCAATTCGCAGCACTATTGGACCGCCATGTTCTACGGTGACGGAGACCAAGTCACCCTCGATAAGAACTATTTCCACAACGTCTCAGGTCGCGCACCAAAGCTTGGTGAGCCGAGCGTGAAGGGAACTTTCCAAGCTGTGAACAACTACTTCAGCAACATGCAAGGCCATGCATTTGACGCGTACGATGGTGCTACAGCTCTCATTGAAGGCAACGTCTTCGACAATGTCAAGACCCCCTTTACCGACCAGGCTGCAACTGTCTCTACGCTCTTCAGCGCAGACTCGTCATCTGCATCCTCCTGCTCAAGTGCTCTCGGCCGCGCCTGTGTAGCAAATAGTGCTTCCAATGGAAGTGGAAAGTTGCCTACTCTGTCTTCTACGAGCTCTCTCAGCTCCTTCAAGTCCACCTACCTGGTTGATCCCATTGCCGCTGACAAGGTTGCTAGCCATGTGCAGGGCAATGCTGGTCCTTCCAACCTGGGATCAAGCTCTGGGGGATCCGACGGTGGAAACGACTCGACACCTGTTTCGTCGTCGGCTGCTGTCTCTCCATCAGTTCCCACCGCTACTACCTTGTCAAAGGTCCCATTTACTTCTTCAGCCCCAACTTCAACCGCTTCCCCTGTTCAGACTTCAGCTCCTGTCTCTGGTGGTGACTCTGACAACGCTGATGACAACTGCAGCGATGATGGTTCGTCCGGCAGTGAGGAGGACACCACTGGATCCAACGACAGCACAGAAATTGCCGCCTACGGTCAATGTGGTGGTCAGGGTTTTACGGGAACCGGTAAATGTGCCTCTGGTACTTCGTGTGTTAGCCACAATGAGTGGTACTCTCAATGCTTGAGCTCTAGTGCCCGGCGCAGAAAGAGAGGTCTTGTCATGGGAACAGTCTTCTAAGTCAATAGATTTCTTACTGGTAGAGCAGGCCTTCAGCCAATAACTAATATAGAACAATATCGACTTTGAGATAAATGCAATTGAGTAACTACCTAGTGTATTCTAGAATATAGTGATGATGTTAAAGTTTAATAATCTATGCCTGGGCCAACCCACTGGCTAGGTACTCCTTGCTGAAAGGGTAATCTGAATATCCTATCTTTGACTGAGGGATGTAGAAGGTGTTGCGGTTGTAAGGACTTAGCTGCAATCCCTCCTTGATACGGTACACAAGGTCCGGGTTTGAGATGAAGTACCTCCCAAACATAACGACAATGTTCTTGTTAGGGTGCTCTTTATCCACAACATGACGAGCGGTGTCGGGGTTATACCCTCCTGCAAGAAGAATGGGTCCATCCCAAAGATCATATACAAAGTCGAGCGACTCATTGCTCGAGGAATCCTCAGAGCCGGAGATCCGTGATTCAACCACATGAAGAAAAGCAAGGTTTAGGTCTTGTGCTTTCTTGATGAGGTCCGAAAACTGGGGGATTGGGTCCTTCATTTTCACGCCCTGGAACGTACTCCAGGGACTGATGCGGAACCCAACACGCTCAGCTCCAACGGCGTCAACCATTGCCTTCATTACTTCATGAGGAAAACGAGACCTGTTTTCCACACTGCCGCCGTACTCATCGTCTCGCTGGTTGCTGACGTCTTGTAGGAACTGGTCAAGAAGATAGCCATTTGCAACATGACACTCAACACCATCAAAGCCGGCCTCGATGGCGTTCCTCGATGCGTCTGCAAAGTCCTGGGTGGTCTTGCGTATCTCTTCGATGGTCATGGCGCGAGGAACAGGCGCATCTGGAGCGAACGGAATAGCACTGGGGCCCAGAATCGGGATCCCTTCCTTGGCCGAAGTCTCGGCTGAGGCTGCACGACCAGCTAGAAAGAGCTGACAGTATATGAAGCTGCCTCGGCGGTGAACCTCGTCCGTAATGTCCCGCCACGCCTCGATCTGTTCCCGGCTCCAAATTCCGGGAGCATTGTCAAAGGTGCCGCATGCAGATGAGGCAAAGGTCCCCTCGACAAGAATCAATGTCCCGGGAACAGCAGCCCGTTGCACGTAGTATTCTTTCATCAGTGACGTTGGGACACGATCGTCCGTGGCCCTGAGGCGAGTGAGTGAAGGCATGCCGATGCGGTGCGAGACTTCAATATTGCCAATTTTGAGAGGCTTGAAGAGGCGAGATTCAGGCATGGTGGGCGATAAGAGTCGATTCCAAAAATACTAGAGTTGGATCTGATTTGCAAGTTGCTTGTTTTTTGACTGTCGATGGAACGAGAGTCTGAGGGGGACAGACTGATGGGCTTTTTATATAGTTAACTCGTACACGGCATTATAAATATCAACTCAATATTTCATTCTATCTGTTCAATGAGATTTTGGATTTATCAGCAATATTTGCAAACGCTATATCACATAGTGGCGACAGCTTCAGTTTGCGGAACTAACATATTTCCATTCAAGGGAATGAGGTGATGCCGTGGCTGACTTGCTACAAAGACTAGGGCGTTAGTAGCCAATAAAATCATGCAAAACTTACCAGGGTGAAGTGCAAACAGGAAACATCATACTGCTTGAACCGGAATAGCTTCGTTTAATCTCCCTTCTAGCCAACTTCTCCACCAGAACCCTCTCAGTGCCCGTATAATAATAGCAGGATGTGGGTTATGGGAATCGTCGGATGTAATTGGTGTAGCCAGCTTGGGACGTTATCGGATCTAAGGTGGCTAAGACCGTGCGATCATTGAATGTCAACTCGATATCTCAATCCCCAAACGAGGTAGTAGTGAGCAAAGAAGTAGATAGAATGTCTCTATTCATGCCAAACTTGTATCACTACGCTACCTTGGTTGATATACCTCTTCCCAAAATCCTCTTACTTGCGATAGAAACGCCTTATCTGACCATATATACTGCTTCATAATGGCGAGAATGTCAGGCCATTCATCATACCTATTCTCGAATCTAGATGCGCGATTCAAATTTAGGAGCATCAGATATTGTTCTCGGACGTCTCCTGACGGGGCAAAAGCACCACCAATGTAGATAAGCCAGAGCAGTAGATCGGGGTGAGAATCCCATATGGAATTTACATTCTCTTGTTGTAGCTTTTGCAGCAACTTCAATGAAAGTTGTGACTGTGTTTCTCCATATCAGTCATGTCCAATGCACGTCAACAGCGAGTAATGGCTCCGAAGATGGTGCTAAGATGCAGAACTTACCGGAAACACCGACGCTCTCCAAATTTTACAGCGTAGCATGGTTGAGCATAGATAAGCGGCAATGTTACAACACTCCAAGAACCCCGAAGTGCTTGGTATGCTGACCAGCCTCGACTGAATGGAGGCTTGATGGTTGTCAATCTGCGCCATCGACATGACGTCCTCTGATTCGAAATAGGTAGATTCCCTGATATTTTGCAGAGAGTGAATATCTTCTAGTATTTCGATGAACCCTGGGTTTAGATGCTGGAGCACCCTCTGAAACCCAGGCTGCAAGACAAAATTATTAGGGGCAAATGGGTCTCTTCTCCAACGAAGCTCATGGAATGTTTCGTGGTTCACGATCCGTTTGGATCCAGTCATGACGCATGAATTAAGATCTTGCCTGTATGCAATGTGAGTATACCGAAAACCCCGTTCTCGTGATTGAAATCCAACATGGAGTGGTACTTACCAGAAAATGGCCCGTTTAATTGCGTCTGTCAGATGAATTCCTTGGCTTTGACATACTTTAAGAAGCTGTTGAATGGCGTTCATATGAAACTGGACCTGAATCGGCATGGAAAGACGAGCCTTTGAGAGTCAAAATATAAGCTTTGTCGGAGCCTTTCATATTGAGATTCGTAGGATATTCGGGCACGTACTTCGATTCCAGCAAGTAGGACGATAGATGCCAGGGTGGACTCAGAGGTAGCCACATCGAGACGACTCATTCTCTCACTTATTGTGTTAATAACCTTGTTTTGAAAATTCAGACCCGCAATGTCGAGTGCCCCATTCATGGCAAGAGAAAATGTGAGCATTGCTGCGTTATGGAGTGCAGGGTCACCTGGGCGAGCCCGAAATACTTGGATGAAGTTGAAAAGAACCAACTCATCCGCAATACTAAAGATTGGTTCCGCAGAGTGCTCGGTTTTGCCTGCATCTATCTGTGAATAGTAGTTAGGGTAATTGTTGACTTGAGAAACCTACTCTGGCTTAAGCATGTTTGCAATCTCGATGATCCAGAATCCAGAATACGAATCAAGTCGATCGCAGCACCTGTGCATTTCACTTCGGGCGATTCGATCATACGATTGAATTGTATCCTTTTCGATGATGTAGCCCGACTCGAATCTTGACTCCAAGAGAGAAGCCGGAAATTAAGCCCAGACTGTTGCTGCGCCTTTCGCTTTCTCTCAAGAGCATGTTTTATTGCATGTGACCGAGCCAACCGTTTATTTTTGCGGTCTTCCACGCCATCCGGACATTGAATTGAGATGAAGCGAAAGTTGCCTGGATTGCTAGTCAGACGGATCTCAGGATGGAGCGGCACACTGTCCTGCTACGCCTAGGTCTAGGAAGAGTGACTTACCATCGGCCGCCATCTTCTCTCCCGGTGCTGTTAAACCTAGGTCTGTGTCCAGATGTTGACATGGGACATTGGTGACGAAAGGAGAAACCGGAGATCGGCGGAGCTTCCATCATCCACAAGTCGTTGCTGACAAATACATATAGCCATTGGAAGCGAACGAGCTTTCGACCTACCCTATACTCTCACTCGGCATTTTGCCTTGCAGTGAAATATTCCAACGCATTCACTTTAAAGGGTATTCTCAAGAATATTATTATCTGGAAGGTATTTGACTAGCTGGTTCAACTTCTATCATGACATAAAAAAGGTACTGCTTGCTGGTTATGATGACGACATTTCGAAAAGTGTTTGGATTGCAAGGTGCATTTGTATTGTTGACAGTTGATAGCAATGGTTTTTGTATCATCTCAAAGCTTCTCGAGCTTTTTGCATGTCGTTATTCTTGAAATTAGATCTCGCAATGATGGGTCATCTTAAGAACTAGAACGACTGGCTAGCAAGCCATGAGAGCGTGACTGACAACTGCTCAATGCCCCCTCCTTGATCCGACCACGTATCCAGGCGATCTTTGACCTTGATCACATAGTCTTGCCAATTGATCGGTATCTCGATAAATTTTGTCGATTCTGTGTCAAGATTCTTTGCTCGAGCCGCAGCGAGTAGGCATAGAGCGTGATTGAAACGCACACGACATGCGATCCACGAGCCACAGTGACGATAGAACGGCTTTTCTGTCTCAATGCGATAAGCATTCAACCGGAGACCGAGGGAAGCTTTTGCGCCGTAAAGACGCCTTTGGGGAATTGTCAGCTGCGTTGCATGGTCATGAATGCAGATATACAAGAATGCTCGGCAAAGTAGCTCTCTAACTTCAACATATCGCTCTCGCATCAGTTTGACTAGCTCGGGCTCGGATTCAGAAGGGGGTGAATCGGGAGGAAGGTTGAAATAGAGACAAGGGGGTAAGCATTCTAGCCACCTCTGGAGTTGTTCTTCCAGCTGCGTGAATTTTTCTGCGACCATCCTTGCCCCGAATGAATCAAGATTTGGCGAGAGCTTAGTCGCAGCGTTTCGGGCACGGTTGAGTAGTCGCCGTAGTGATATCTCAGCAAGAAAGTAATAAAAGGCCGTCGGTGCGTAGTTACGCCTGTCTCGGGCATGGCAAACAAATAACCGCGATGTCGGGGTCTCAGACGGAAAGCTAGGCAGCTGGAATGAAAACTGCGAGTCCTGAAGGGTGCAGAGAGGTAAATGTGGAAGTTCATATCGCATTTCACTGAATGACGCTTATTAGATACTTGACGGCAAAAGGGACTAAGAAGACCTACCATTCTGCCTTCATACACGTCCAAAATATGCGCTGCTCAAGACCTAATAGAATATGATTAGCGGCGCCTATTGAATGCAAATTTGCCTTCTTGCGTACTTAGCTCTTGCTGCGACCTTTCGCTACCGTCAAGTGCTTGTTTCTGGTGATATGTTTCCCACAGCATAGACGCGGTTCGGAACATCTTCCACCCTTGTATTGGTTCGAGGTTATACCAGTACCAAGAACTGAGGCTCGACAGGTTAGAGGCACTGTAGTGTTGCGTATTGATTTTGGAGACTCACCCCATGAGACAGTAACATGAAACTCCAAGCAGAGAGTCGTCTTGCAAAGCGTAAGACATCCGGCTTTGAGCCATGGCAAAATAAATGGACGATTCTTTGACACGATGCTCAGGCACTGCTACTGTGTGAGTAGGGCTGCCGTTTTCAGTTGTCAGACTGGCACGCCGTTCATCTTCAGGATAGTTGCCCCAGATGGCAGCTAACGCGAAAATCGAGAGCACAAAGCATGACGAAACGGAATCTTTCAGCCCATCTCGCAAAACTTCCAGTACTAAGTCATCGAAGGTCTCATTGTCAACGAAGGGCGTCAATGGCTCAAACTTTGACAAGTATATGTCGCGTAACTCAAGAATGCGTTCAGGAGATGGATGTAAAATTTCTAGAGACCAAACGTAGGGTTAACTCCATCGCTATCAGTTTTTCTAAGAAGAAAAAGTCACAAACCTTTGGAATATGGGTTCACTTTGGCAGAGAAAACAGAGGCCGGGAGCGTCCTGATGGGTTTGTCGGCAGGGAACACATTCCATTTCAAAATATCGTCCGACGCTGTGATGGGAGTCGAGAGGACATCTTTTCGTGAATGAGATTCTATCTCATCACCAGTCTCGTCGACATGTAAATCAGTTGGTCGAAGCGGATGGACATTTGTATTGTCATTGCTCAGACGTCCTTGGGCCGAGAGGTTCACAATGAGCTGACCTTGATCTTCAATGGCTTTCAAAATTTTCCCGCCCAATATCTCAAATCTAACGAAAGATTGTTAGCGAGTTGATAATCGTGGGCAGGGCCAATTTGGTGTCCTGTTCACCTACACTGATGATGGGTCTTTGTCCGGGTACAAACAACGCCTGCCTCGCTTCTGGCATTTAGCACAGCTTGGACGAGTCGCATCACAGCGGGTTTTGCTGATTCTACAAGCGTCACATGCTACAGCAGTTCTAGTCTGCTGCACTCTCTCGATTTCGGTATGCAAGTCAGTCGGCCTAGGACGTTTCCTTCGTGTGGCGACCATTCCGGTGGATGGTGTGAACTCTGATACGTTTGCTTCCGGAGTTGACATCACCGTTGAGAGATCCTGTGCGGACATAGATGTAGTTCGGAGAAGACGTACTTGTATTGGTGAATCTTACCGCTCCCACGAAAAAGCCTGCCCCTCCCGGAACTTCTTTTCAGACAAGTACACGTCAAAAGATCCTTGCATTGCTTACTTTATGCGAATGGTGAAAGGGATTACCCCGCAATTGATCTCTCTCCCGATCTCGCTCTTTGCAGAAACGAGAGTCAAGTGACGCGAGATCAAATATGACAACATGACATCTCGGGATAGTGCATTCCCTACGTATAGTCTACATAATTAGTTAACGTGAAAACCTTTTGCGAAACCATTAGGTTACGATCATTATTGTGAGAACACGCTGGTTGTTTGATGCTTTTGATTAGTTGAATAGAAGCCACTGCTGCTAATGAACTGAGTGAATAGATCACATTAACTTTTTATCTACAGAATTGGGTATCCAAGGATGCCCAAATACAAGACAACGAGACGATTTGTCATGTGAGCGCGGCGGAAGCTCCCCGACTATTTCACCCAGAAAGCTGCAATACGACGCTGCGACATACGGCGGAGGCTCCCCGAACGTCCCTGATTGGCCGACATCGGTCCAATATCTCCATTTGCTCCGACTGTCACGATGTGCGTGAGGACCAGGAATCATTAAGAATGCGAGAGGGGAGAGTGTAGCAGGGATTCGAACTTGCTCTATTTAAACAGACGGTGGCCTCCAACGATACGATTGCAATAGCAGCTCAACAAACCTGAAAGAAGCAACGATTAACCAGTTCACTCACTTTGGTCTTCCAATAATCAACAAGTCAAGCATTTGCTCTCATTTTATTTACCATGGCTACGCCGGAGATTAAGAAAGTTATCGACAGCAAGACCTTCAAGGTCTTAACCCCCGAACAGATTGAATCATTCATGGAATTCGGGTATCTGCGCCTCCCGGGAGCCATCCCCATCGAGAATTGTGATCGCTGGACGGAGCACGTCTGGGAACGCCTGGGCATGGACCCGGACGATAAATCCACCTGGCATACTGAGCGAAACCACATGGCCAAGTTGGGTGTGATTCCCGCCAAGGAGATTGCGCCGCTTGCCTGGGAGGCAATATGCGAGCTTTGCGGAGGAGAGGATAAGATTGCCAAGGGTGGTGAAATGTGGACGAACGGGTTCATCGTGAACCTGGGCAGCGAGGAGATCGAGGGAAAAACTACTCCGCCCAAGGATCTAGAGCTGTGGCATGTTGACGGTGACTTCTTTGTTCACTTTCTGGACAGTCCGGAGCAAGCCTTGCTGGTCATTCCATGCTGGACTGACGTTGAATCAAACGGGGGTGCCACCTGGATTTGTGATCAGGGGCCAAAAAGGATTGGAAAACATCTGGTATGATTTACTAATTCTCTAGCTACGTGTCCGCTGCAATCTGAGAATATTGCTGACCAGCGAATAGTTTGAGCATCCAGAAGGCTTGAGCCCTGTGATGAAGCCCCGGGATGAGCCTTACAAGCCTTATGCCTCTTACGATCATTGCGTTTCGGTCATTCGTGATTGTCCGGACGAAAGCTTTCATGAGATGACAGGAAAGAAGGGGGATGTAATCCTTATGCATCCACTAACCCTTCATAGCGTCAGCCGAAATGGCCGGCGTCTCAAACGTAAGCAATCGCCTCGTCTCTGTTGTTCTGAATTGTCCGCTTCTAGTTATCAGAGTCGCTCACATGTCTTTAGGCATCATCTCCAACCCGCCCGTCTCTCTTGCGGCGCCTTTCCAGTTTAATCGAGCGAACAAAACTGATCACAGTCTCATCGAGCTTAAAACTATACAAGATGTCGGTGGTGGTTTTGAAAAGTTCCGGGATTGGAAGATCACTGGTGCGCGGGAAAAGTTCGCCCCCTTAACTGTTTCTGCCAAAGAGAAAGCTCGTGACCTAGAGGTGCAGAGACTTCGCGACCTGGGCATTGCAGTTGGGGAGCCTATCAGCCAGATGCCTCACTCTATGGTCTATTCGTCTTGAATAATTTTGGAATGCAAACAAATAGCATCTTGAAATTGTAAATGAGCAATTATACATGGCATTCAAGCTTACTAAAAAACTTGAATCAGACTGGTAGTTATAAGCTGGCCATCGGGGTGTGTTAACAAGAAGCAAGGTTTGATATTAAATGCATCACTGTACCATCTCTATCAACCTAGGATTATGCATAAAGGAACCTTGAAAATGTGTTATTTGTATCCATGCCTTGGCCAGGTACTATCATTCCACCTTTATACCGACGGCCACTTCTTAATGTTGCTTTGGCATCATGACTGACGGGTCGCCCTCTCTCCAGATGACCTTCAACCCAAACTTCTTGATCTTCCATTCGTTTGCATCATCCTTGACAAGATCAAGGGAATACTGCCCACCGACTAGAAACTTGGGCCCATCTGGCTCTCGGCCCCTCCCAGGAGGACAATGCTGAGCAAGTGAGGTGGCAGTGAGGAAGGCGGTATTCGCCCCATCCTTGAGATCCACGCGGACATTGCTCACATTGTGAGTGGTGTCCATTGGTCCAACCATTTCGAAGATGTGTTTTCGAATCAGGGCGAGATTCGGGAGGGCTTTGAGTTCGCCGTCGTGGATCTCGGCCGAGGCGTCTTCTCCAGCCCACACGGAGTTGAAGAGCTCGAGGTCGTTCAGATCGCAAGCAATAGCTACGCGGGAGAGGACGTCGATGATGGCCTCACGGGGGGTGAGAGACACGAGGTGGGTGGCTACTGTGGAAGACATTTTGATGATTCTGGTTTAAAGATGAAGCAAAAGAAGGGTTGTGGTGTTAGATGAGCCTCCGGTGTTGTTTTCTAGTATTGATGGTTCCGATTGAAGGTTGCCGAGGACACGAAGTAAATAGTTCTTGGACTGATCTTAATCTGGTGAGTTGTTCTTAAGGTTTCTGATGTCTTGAATCCCACGATATTCATCTCTCTTTTATAATCACAGCCAGACACCCTCTTCGACATTCCGACATACTGTAAATGCCGGAGGTGTGGGTTGGTGTAAGCAACGGGCATTAGCAAAGCCCGTGGCCGCCATAAAAGCGGTACCATCGGCGTTTTCGTTAACACCGTATACATATCCTCCGGCACCCCCAGAAATTCTCCGGCATCTCAGGAAAGTTCACTCTCACGGTAAATATCTAAGAGCAGGCAAACATCATGGAAGACCAAAGGACGACGCGCGCTACCAAATGGGGTGCGGCATGTGCTCCCTGTGCTGCGGGCAAGACGCGATGCATTCGCAGCGACTCTGAATCTCCGGGCGCCTGCGATCGGTGCCGGAAATTGGGGAAGCAGTGCTCTGACCGGGCTCCCAGACCAAGGAAGAAGCGACAGGCTAAGACAGCGTACGTTGCGTTTGCTCGTTCATATTCCCTCTTTCGTACATCCCCACCACCGCCACGATGAAATTCAAGCCATCATTGTCATGACACGAAAGTCCGACTATGCTCGAGTGGCTGGGACTGGAAATTACTAGATGCCGAACCATCCATCATTTTCTCAAACGGCTAACAATATTCAATATGACAGAAAGTTACCCCAGTCTGCGGGGATTTCCAATGACCTGGTAGAAGCATTCGAAGCCTTGGGCCAGAGCAGTATCGGAACCACGCCAAGCTTCAATCAACTTGGTCCGTCGTCTCCAGCTAGAACAGGATCCCAAGCCCAAAGTAGAACGAGCGAAGAGAGTGTCCCCAAAGCGCCAGTTCTTGGATTAGGATTTGGCCCACCCCAATCATGCACCTGCAGTATGCCAACAGACAACGAAGACCACATGCCCTTGGAGTCTGACGAAGCGTTACTGGCCATCTACAGGAGCCAACTATCCCCCCGTTTTCCATTCGTCATTATTCCTGCTAGCTCAACGCCGAGGAAACTAGAGGTGGAGCGGCCCTTTCTTTTCAAGGTGGTTAGAATGGTTGCCAGTGTACGCAATCTATCCTCAATAAGAGGACAGAGCCAGTCGATCCTCCGATATATCTCTGAAGCTATGATACTCAGGTCAGAGCGCTCTCTCGATCTGTTGCAGGGGATATTGGTCTTCTTGGGATTCTATCACTATCACTGCATGACCCATGCGCAGTTCAGCAATCTGGTTCATTTGGCTGCGAGTCTCGTGGAGGACATGAATCTGAACGTATCTTACTCGCCTCAAAATAGCGCGGGTATCCTTCCTTTAATGCGGGGTCAGGGTGCGAGGTCGAGGACTAATGAGGAGAATCGGACACTGCTTGGTGTGTGGTATATGAGTTCAAAGTGAGTTAGTACCGACTTTTGGGCTGATTATCGATAATACTAATGTTGTCGCAGTGCTGCTCTAGTTACTAAACACTTGGGGCCTGCAAGGTACACGAAAGATCTGGACCACTGTCTGAGAGAACTTGAAAGTATCGCGGAATATGAGTCGGACCAACTAACAGTGCAGCTGGTCCGCTTTCAAAACACCACCAACAAGATATTCCATTTCCATTCCAGAGACCAGCAAATGGATGAGCTCCCTGGCACGCGAACAGTCTCGGCCACGGAATGCTTAGAAGTGTTCCAGGCGGAGTTGGACAACTTATGGCACGCTTCGTCCCCCAAGTTCAGATCCAATTGTATGATTCCTTACTCAAAGACCTCCCACGAGCATTGCTAACACAACTTCTTGGAGTAGGTCTTATTTCATGTCACTACAGAAGTGCATATCTCCAGCTGCTTGAGCCTCTGCTGACCGGAGCGCATCTCCCTGGTGCCGTATCTCAAACCTTCGACTCCCTGTCACTCTCCGGCCTCTTCAAAGTCAATCTCTTTTCGCATTTCACGGCTGCGCTGAAGGCCTGGTTCGACAATTGGCTCGCCTTGCCTGTGTGCTCCTATTTTCACATGCCCCAACCAGTCTCCTTTCAACTATTTCACGCCTGCCGGGCTCTCATACGATGGGTCAGGGCGGCTGGACCAAACGCCATCAGGCGCCCCGACTCCGGCGTCAACACATCGCGAGGTTATACGGCTCCTCAGCAGGCACTTCCAGCAATGAGCGGGATCCCAGAGTGCCCGGAGCTAAGTTCAATAGAGCCTCCGATTTCACACTCGTCTGCAACGATGGCCACACAGCCTCTCGACTCACTGAAGGCTAAAGTGCTAGAACAAGCTGATCTTCGAATTGATGTATTTGGGCTCTTGGATTCCATGGCTGCTCGATTTGAGTCTGCGAGCAAAGAAATGGAAGCTGCCCAGGGAGGTACGTGGAACAATAATACTTGGGACGTGGCTGCAGATCACATCAGGATCAAGAAGGCGAAGATCGAAAAGTGGTGCGAGATCACTTCGGTAGTGGGCAATGAGGGTCGTGGCGGGCGGTCCAGCCAGGTGAACGGGATTGTTGAGACCGCTGGAGAAATCAGAGATCGAGACATGGCAGCGGAGTGGAGGATGGATGGCTTTGAATGGCATGTTCCTAGCGACATTCAGGAGAACGGGCAATGGGAGGCCGAGCTTTTCGATGAAATTATGATGGACGCCGATTTAAGTGCTTTCTTGGATGTTCCTGGAATTTGGGGCCCTGACGCATTGGACGATATGGGAACGACTGGAAGACTGGCCACAGCGAATGCTTCTTGCTAGGTGCAAACAGTAGATGGTTGAGGCTTGCACGAAACGCATGAAGAAGTATGAGTCAATTAACGCTTTATAAGACTTCTAAATTTCCTAATAGTTCCAAAACTTCCCTCTGGTATCATTCAAATTAGAATCACTTTTATCGGCCCGGATGCGGTGCTCGTCTATATCCAACCAACATAAATCTCTTCTAGTTGCGACCCACCACTCTGAAGATGCAAAAATATCAAAGCTCTAGTATTTTATCATGCAGTCTCGTTCCATAACATCCTCATTGAGGCAGAAGCTGGGTACGCAGCAAGCAGTAGCGAAGCAAACTCGGGCATGATGCCTTGAGCCATTGCACCATGGACCGTGACGGGGGCCCACGAGAGCTGCTTGAGGAACTTGATCTTCCACTTCCCTTCCCAGTCTTGCTGTGCTTGCTTATCCACGCAAGGCGCCCGCTGGGCTCTCTGCATGAGCAGGTATACCAAGTCGATGTATACCTCAGCCAACCAACACAGCGCGTTAATCTTGTCTAAGCGGCTGCACGTCTTAGGAGACAGGCTTATTATTTTCTTCTTACTCAGCCACGGGGCTGCATCCGACACGTGGTAAACAGCAGCGATGAAGATCTGAATCGTCTCAAGGCCGAGCATGAACCGGCCCGGGGGATTGAGGTTGCTGAGCTGAGTACGAATACGAAAGATGACGTCCTTGGCGTCAACATACACGCCCAGCAAGCCCAGCATGCGGTTCATGGTACGCCAGTTACCAATCATGGGCACGATGAGTTTGATGATGCCCGCAACTCGACGAGCGAGAGTAGCCAAAAACGAGAGCCGAGCAGCCGAGCATAATGGGAAGCGGACGCGTAGCAGGCGGAAGAGCCTCTGAGTAGCCCCGAAGGCCGGCTCCGGAGAGGAGAACGCATCCAGGGAGTCGCATGTAATGCGGAGGAGGTTGCTGATGAAGAAGAGAGTCGTGTCAGTGCCGCTACGCGTATTGATGCAGCGGCAGAAGTGGAGAAGGAAACGGTCGAAAGCTGAGCTGCTCGTGTTTGCGGCGTTGGCCAGAGCTTTCTGGGCCGCGATGGAATCGGGAGCTGTTGGCAGGGCGGCTTCTGCCGCTGGAGGTTCGATCTTCTCTACATGGCGCGCGTTGTATGCTGAAGCTAGGCTAACAGTAGGGACCATGGTTGAGCCGGGACTGAGAGTGTGCGTGAGGCCTGCTCATCGGGGTGAATTTTCATCTGAGCCAGGGGGATCGCCGACGAGCAGACGCGTGGCTGGGCGGTGATGGTTGGCCAGGTGAGCGGCTCGCGAAGGTGGAAGAAAGTCTCGGGAAGTGACCCGGACTACCAGAGCAAACGAAGGACGATTAGAAACGCTATCAGCGGTCAGGCCGAGAATCGGATTTTTTATCAATCAGTCAGGCTGTGGGGAGGAAAGTGGACGTTTCTGATGTTGGATTCGGGAGTCGGGATGGATTCGCTTAGCGCAGAGGCTAGGCGAGACCAAGCAGACCAGTGGCCAGATGAGAGCCGAGTCTGTGGAGCCGCGCTGAGGCAATTACCGTATATCTCGCATACTGTGGACCCGAGTCAACAGTCCATGCGAAATGGATATCAAGGAGAGTTGTCTCTGTGGAAGTGTCAAGCTTCAATTCCAATTGTCTCTTGTGCCGCTGAAACGGTATTTTAGAGGTGCAACGTCTCTCTTCCCAGTTTGGCCTAATTTAGTGGGACCCGCCCCTAAATATCTCGCCGTTTAGCGGTCACAGCGGCAAAGGTCGCCGAAAATGCCCTAATCGAGTGGAATCACCACCTGAAATGGCCCTAACGCTCCACAAGCTCCAAGGTACTGGGAGCAATGAATTCCGGCATACCCTGTACTTCAACGTACATACATAGTTCGCTCATGTCTTCAACGAGGATATCTAGATTATGCATCCCACAAACATCCGCATGATACTGTCGAATCTTATTTGGCTACATTCAGCAACGAGTTCTTTTTTTTGTAAAAAAATGAGTTGAAAAAGCGAAAGCCTGCGACAATCAACACCTCACACGCTATCATGAACTTCAATCTACAAAGAAAATCGCCTTTTAAACGTGAGATGCACTTCTTGCTGTGATCAAACACTCAAAACTAGGTATGCCTCAATCCCGCCCAAGAAGGAAAGAGTCCCATACCAAGACTACCGCATCCCAAAGAAACCCAAAATAGGAAACAGGTGCTGGGGGAATCGGCCATCTATCCGGCTCAGCTTGAAACCAACCCTTGATCTCCTTCTGATGTACAATGCCCTCGTAAGGATCAACTGTCGCTCGAGTCTGCCGCACTAGCTCGCATGCTTCACGATACATGGCTTGCCTCCTTTCTGGATCCAAGGAGAGGTCCCTTATTGAAGGCAAAATGCATGCTATGTCATGGTCGCCACCTTCAGTGACCATGGAGCCATCGAAAATTGGCATGGGCCTTAACTCTAGGTTTTCCAGACCAGCGCGGATGTCAAGCCGCCCCCTCGGACTCACGATCCATAGAGGCATGTCTTCATGTCCAATGTCCACGATGATTGTGTAGTCGGTCATCTCACTACAGTAAGGAGCCTTGGCGAGCTCGCTCTTGGTCCGAGGCTTAGCCCCGTGCGCCTTGGTTCTGACTTGAAGATTCCCTAGATGTGCCACGTGCTTTGGGAGAGGTATAGCGTGGTGACCAGTCGAAAGGCGAACAGTCAATTCAAAGAAAGACAAAGCTGCATTTGAGTCAGTGCCCTCTAGTCGAGTGGGACAGTACACGGAGTACAGCGTCGCTCGGGACGTGAAATTTATGCGGTAGTCATCCCCGTCGGCATCGAAAAGAGGTATCGCACGTAGCTCTGGACCGTGCCAGGTTGACAATACTTTTTCGGCCTTTTCTCGCGACAGGTCTTGATAGCTCTTCACAGTTTTCTGGGTGATCTCAAGCTTGTCATAGTCAATGTTCGACATGGTCGCGCCTCCCTCAAGTGTGCGTGTCTCGGGCGGCCATGGCTTGTCCGAGTCCACTGAGGTCTCCCATGGATTTTCCCAGGTGATCCTGTCAGAATGGTCCCCATGGGGTTCGAGAACGAGGTTTTCAAAACCGTCATCGGCAGATGGCTTTGTGGCCAAGCAGATGTCACTCTCGTCCACTGATTCAGCACTTTCGTCTACTGATTCTTCGTCTACTGATTCTTCGTCCACTGATTCAACTTCGTTGTCTAGAAGAGGGTCAGTAGGCTTTGGGGATACATGACTTGGGATCTGAACTGACCTTGCTCATCATCCGAAATTTGATCCTCCGGGGGATCCCGAGAAATGAAGACGTGGTCGAGAGCCATCGGAATGACGTGGCGCAGGTAGCGGGGGAATGAAGATGAATCGCGACTGGTGGCACGATGCTCAGTGTGATGGTTTAATACTGGCAGACTGAGTTCATGGATCACAATCTGAAGGCAGGTCCTCTGGGAAGCTGGCGACAATGCCACAATTCGATGCCTTGGAGGGGCGGTGCGGAGAGAATTCAGACTGGTGATGTTTGGTGTGGAGATTTTTAATTTTAGGATTTTCGGATTGGGTAGCAACATAGGGCGCGTCTTTAGGCGCCAAAAAATCTGGCCACAAATGCTGCCATCCATCGCGATTACACATCTCGCCCACTTGGACAGTTCCAGCTTTCTCCACGGTCAGCGATGATGGCTTGGATGGCTGTCCAACGAACACCAACAGTCATGGCGCATGTAGGAAGCCGTGCCGGTCGACTTTTGCCGCGCTGACTGCGGCGGCCATCTGCGGCCACACCATCTACGGCCAAAGATGCTGCAACTTTAAGCGCTGGCCTCGCTTGTGGAGCCATCATGACTGGGGCAGCGCGTCAATTGAAACAGAACATCAAGTTGGGAGCCCTGAAGCCTCAGGTCGATGCAGTTTGGCGCCAGCCGTTCATAAAGGTTATTAGTTGGTTGGTCCTCTCCGGGTTGGATATGGTTTCCTGCTTAAAATGCCAAATGCCGGCCTTTCCAGTCTGCCTTTGCATTAACTCGTCCTTCTCCTCTTCAATTTGACATATTCATTCAATTATCGGTAAGTCTGAATAGGTTTAGAATTGGCATGTGAACATGAACTCATCAAGAACATAATGACAGGAACCGGGAATTAACGAGTTTTCACCATGGGTATCCTTTCGATCTCGAAGGGAGCTGAACCTGATACCGTAATCCGGGAGATAGAAGCAGCAGAGTCAAACTTTAGGGCGCTTGTAGACGCGGCCATGACAATCTCGTCTCCTAGAAGTTTGCTGGTCAACTTTGCCGGTGAAATCGACATCACACCGCTCACAAATCTGGTGAATGACCTGATACTTCTTTTTCACGTCTTCCGTCGCATTGCATTGAAGGCAATCGATGCCCAGTCTGCGTTGAGAGAGGTCCCACCAAACATCATGAAGAACAACCATTACAACACTCTCTGCCCCCTTACAGTGTTCCTTCGCATCATCGCCGGCGCTCTCAGCCGGGTCAACCTTCGAGAGGTGAACCTGGATGATATGTTCTCCGAATGGGGTCCAATAAAGCCTCTTCGGAACGTCATGGTCCAACTTCAGAAGAACTTTCAAACAATCCCAGTAGGGCACAACGAAGTACTCCCAGGTTTTGCGAATTGCATTATCCTCCACGAGGAACACTCTAAGTTCACGGTTTCCCCCACTGCGGCGGCTTATTATGCCCTGGCGGGCATCAATGCTCGTGCAACCGCCGTCCGAAGCCTTTTCCTTCAACAACTCAGAGCTGGCTGCGGACCTGAGGTGCGCGACCGAATCGCAAAAATAGAACTGCTTTCGCGGGACTTGGCGAATTATCACAAGACTAGAAGGGGCGCGGAAAGTGATGAGTGGGATGGTAATCCTTTCAGTGGCCCTGGGAGCAACCGAGTCAAGGTTGGAGGGTTTGGTGCATCCATGACGCCAAAGGGAGGGTACAAGCTGGCGTGTATTGTCGATTTTTGGCGTTTTGAAATGGAGAGGCCAGCAGCTGTTGAGGAGCGTGCCCTAGGGGCGTTAATTTCTTCAGGTGGCATAAGAGGCGCGTGGAATGCCACCTCATGCGCAGAATGGGAGCTATGGCTCACTAAGCTGTCTCGTCAGGACGTCCAACCCGTCCCGTTCGATACAGTTTACCCTGTTAGGGAGGATATGGCCAAGTCCGCTACCTGGACGCGCATGGCTTCTCCAGCTAGTGCCACTCGTGCTCCTTCGAGTGGCAAGAGGGCCGCAGTTGGTTCGAGGGTAGAGGTGGCCGCAGTGTTGCGAGAACCCGTACCGTACTCCATTGAGTCCAGGTTGACGTTTCCGGAAAACGGGGAGAAGAAACCAACGCCCGGAATAGCGTTCCCTCGTTCCCAGAAGACAACTCAACGTCAGCAACCCACAGTGTCCGGAGGTGAACCATCGGTTATTGTTACCAAAACGAATTCTTTTACCATTCAAAGCAGGCGCCCTGAGGCGAAGCCGACGTCAGATCAGCCTGGAAAGAGGAGAGGGATGTTCTCTAAAATGTTTAGTTAATGGGAATGATTTTGTTTCTTTTCCAAAGATTATTATTAGGGGGGTGGATTGCAACATTGCTACGGCGTTCAGTTTACTACCTAATTTGAAAGCAATGATTTCCATTTATACATCTGCCATTTGAACAGAATACAAAATTAAACGGTCACTGTGAAAACTGGACGCCCCCTTGTGGACCTATTCGACAGCTCGTTCTTTGTACTGCCGTGCGGAGTAGTACTCATATCGCGAAGCACAACGAGCTCTGAACGATTTGCCCCATTTTAGAAGAACAGCAAATTGGCCGAGTATAAGAACGGAAATCAAAAGAATGATGACAAAGACATATGTAATACCAATTTTCCTGATCCACGGAGTGAGAGCAAATATAAAGGCGGTGCTGAAAGCGTTGCGAACTACAGTTACACCAACAAGTGCATCGCCGATGACCTGCCTCACGTTAGTGATTGGTAAGAGATTTGAGGTGCGCAATCAAACGTACATTTTGGTAAGAGTCGGTCAAGTAAGTCAAAACAACACTGTTGATCGGAGAAATACCCATATTGTAGAGGACGACACCGAGGGCAACAAGCGGCCATGGTAATCCGTTGCCGAGCCCAATGCCGGTCAAAATGGCACCTGCTGGAACTAGAGGGAGAAAAAGGCAAAAACACCATAGACGGGTCTCGGGCTCATATACACCCTTGTTGCGGCGGGATAGAAATACAACAAGCCAGTCACTGAGCGGCCCTCCCACGACACAGCCAATAGTGACGCCAATAATCTTGGGTAGACTCATCAACCCAATTTGAGCTGAATTGAAATTGTAAGGAGGTTTCTTCATATATGTCGAAATCGAGGTAGATATAACATCCCCGAGCGCTATCAGTATTCCATAGACGAGGGCAGTGAAGGCCACTGCAGGTATGGTACCAAGTAGGATAAAAGGCTGGTACATATGACGCGTGAAGGACTTCAGACTTGCGTCAGAAGACACTCCCCCGGTCAGCGAAAGCTTCTCCAGGTAAGTCTTTTCTGGGATACTCTTGTCAACTTGGATCTCGTGCAAGTTTGTGCTAGGCCCCTTCTCTTCGATAATGGTGGAGGTGTTGGCATCGGTTGTAGCTTGGATTCCATCCCCAGGATGAACACCAGGGCCAGACTTTGCAGATTTCTCTAGGTTAGAAGCCCCTTCAGACTCAACGGGGTGAATCGATGATGCATCCCACTGCTGCTCGGGAATGAACTTTGTCTCTTCATACAAGAAAGCCACAACCAGGGCCAAAGCTCCAATGAAGATAGCATTTCCCCACCACACCCATCTCCAACCGCGGCTGAGTGAAACATAGCCAGCGAGTAGGGATCCTAGAGGGGCCGCAACTTTCCACAACCAGACGTAGATGCTGTTGAGGCTTCCCCGCTGGTGTACAAAGAAGACATCGGCAATCGTCATCTGCACCATGACTTCGCCAAGGGCACCAAACCCACATTGGACGATATTGATGCCCATTAGGTCTCCGTACGTCCTCTGCTTGGCTGACCATATCGCCACAAGGAACTGGGCGATTGTGCTAACCAGGTACAGTGGCCGACGCCCAAGCTTAAGTGCAAATGGAATGAGGAGGACAGATCCGATTCCCAAGAAGGCACAACCGATGGCGTAGCTGTTGTTCAACTCGTCGTCACTGAACCCGAGCTCCTTCTGCATGGGACCCCACGTCGGGGTCGCAGAAGAGGTAAACTCGGAGACCATGGCAGAGTAAAGGCAGACGATGGCAAAGTTGAGATATTTGCGCCACTTGGCCCAGTTGAGAGGGTCATTGGGGTTGGTGGAAGGTCGAGGCTGGAGAATAATTTCCTTCTTGCCAGACGCCGCGTTGACGTCTTCAAGCAGAACGGTGCCCGGAGGCCACATCGTGGCGATTCCAGCATCAACATCCACCGGCGGAGGAGGCATGGTTCTGCTGTAGATTTATATAGCAGGGAAAGGAGTTGATGAGTCTGAAATGGCCGAGTGGAATGATGTCTTGGGATAGGAGTAGGGTAGAGTTATTCGTTTCCTATCTCGACCAACATGCCAGGGCATATTTATAGACGCATGCGCGCTCGAAGGTTGCAGAATCTGGGGAATGGGGAACCAACATGATCCAAAGATGCAAACAAGAAAAATGTTTGATATGCTACTGACTCGTGATTGGAGCGGTCTCGAGCCCGCTCTGAAGCTATCTAATGTGGGGTAATGAGATCCGATGCTACGACGATACTTCACTAGATCATGCCCTTTTGGACAGTCGAACATGGGTAAGGCGGCGTGGGGCCCGAAAGCCTGGCGCGTGTGCTTCCGGGTGACAGGACAAAGAAGCTCACGAAATGTGAACCGGAGACAGGGGTCAAGAATGAACATGTCTGATAAGAAGAGATCCAGGAACTATCGACTCGACTCGAACTTGTTCAGCCAAGCTCGGTGCTCAAACCCTTGAAGACATGTCCGCCTCGTTGCCCGTACCTGATTCTAGCCTCTCGTTCTGGCACCAAACCACACGCTCATTTCCTCACTTGAGCAGTAATCGAGATGTGCCTGTCCCTTTGACATCTCGATATGCTATCATTGGATCGGGTATTTCAGGGGCTCTCACTGCTTGGGAGCTGATAAAGAATGGTGTCAAGGGCGAAGACATCCTGATTTTTGAGGCCAGAGAGGCTGTCTCGGGTGCTACTGGCAGAAATGCTGGCCATGTGCGACCTGGTATTATGATAAGTCCAGTCACCTAGCGTTAAGATCTAACATACTCTTATAGACGCGTTTCGGGGCTTCCCCTCTTTCGCAGCTAGGCACGGCCCAGCGCAAGCGAAGAAAATCATCGAAAGCGAGCGAGTAGTGCTGCAAAAAGTGAAAGACTTTGTAGAGAGCAACGGAGTAGATTGCGACTTCTATGACACGACAACGATCGATGTTGTCCTGTCCGCAGATTTTGCCGACCACCAGTCTCGAAGCTTGGCTGCGTTCGAAGCTGCGGGAGGGGATACATCACATATTCGGATTTATCGAGGCGAAGATGCGAAAGAGAGAACAAAGATACCTGCGGCTATATGCGCATATGAATGGCCGGCAGCGTCTAACCACCCCGCTAAGTTGACGCACTGGATTCTAAACGATGTGCTTAACAACGGCGCCAAGCTATGGACACATTGCCCGGTATCAAAAGTCACCAAGCATAACGGACAGGGGCAGGAGAGCAATCTTCGTTGGGATCTGCATACAGACCACGGTGTTATGTCTGTTGGCACAGTTATCCACTGTACAAACGCCCACGCAGCTGCTCTCTTGCCAGAATTGAGCGGATATGTCACTCCCCTCAGGTCACAGGTTCATGCGTTTGTTCCTACCGCGGCCGCTTCGGCTGAAAATCGATTTAAGCAGACAATGTCGCTTCGATATAGCCTCGGGCATTACTTCTCAGTAAACCAACTACCCAGAGACGGCACTATCATTATCGGCGGTTCTGGAACTCGGGACGACGGCGATATTGATGATAGAATGAAAGAAGAAATGGTCACGTTTGACGATAGTCAATACTCTCAACGGATCGCGAAAAATAGCAACAGGGAATTCAAGAAACTCTTGCTTGCCCCTGATTCCGAAAACCTACGACCGGGAGAGGGGCTTCGGCATGCTTGGACGGGCATTTTGGGCATGACTCCAGATAACGTTCCCCTAATTGGACCAGTCGAGGGGCTGGAGGGACAATGGATCTGCGCTGGATTCAATGGCCATGGTATGTATCCCATGAAAATTCTGGCCAGCACATCTGCTAACTCGAGGATATAGGCATGGCTAGGATTTTCTTATGTGCCCCTGGGTTGGCGAAGTTGATACTAGGGAAGCCGTGGTCGGAAACTGGTCTTCCAGAATGTTTCCAATACAGCACAGAAAGACTGGATAAGGAACTAAATGCGCAACTAAAGGGGAAGCTCTAAGAGGCAATGAGTAGCTTTTTCAAAACTTACACACTACTCAATCTTTTGATCTTCGTCGGCTTTCTCAAACTTGTTTTCTGAATTTATCGGGTGGCTAGAAACTATGAAGTCTCTCTTTTCTTTCCTAAGCCAAGTAGCTTCCTTAATATTTTTTCAACACAGGTACTACATAGCGCCCAAACTAATATGAAGACATCGTAGACGGACGACCTCTTGTTCCTAGCGTCAGCAATGTACTTTGTCAAAGCCAGTCTTTAAAAAGCTGTGGACCCCCGACAGCAAAGTACACAGATATTTATCACCTTTCAAGGATATGTGACCACCTAAATATCTTCAGAAAGGGTATCAGAAAAAGCATCAACTCCATAATCATAAAGCTGCTTGAAAGAAACATCTATTAATTTTGGTACAGATCTTTGTGAAGCTGATGAGAACATGTGACTTACTGGCTACGGTGGGAGGGTTCGAGTATTACGTAGAAATCACTTATCGACTTAGAATGCAAAGAAAAATGATGGCATTGCTCAAGGAACTAGGAAAGGGGCTTTCTAGGACCACTTCCAGCTTGCTTCATTGAAAGACCTCAAAGGCAGATGACATGGCAAGCCCACAAGGGTGTCGGGTGTGGGGCCGCCCGGGCTCCACTTTCCGCATTGTCAATCGAGCTGTTTTTAATTCAATTCTCAACATCAGACCAATCCTCAATATCTTGGGCGAGTCAAATGCCACAATACTCATAGGGGGGTGGAAAAGGGATTCTTCAGTTATACGACCCCGCATAGTTATCGAATACTACCTGTGGGCGAACGCAATTAATCAACGGAATCATGAATCAGGAGGGGAATTCCCACTGAGCAAAGTTCGCCAAATTGCAGGTAGATGCTCGCTAATTTACAGTGGGATCTCTGGCGGAAGGCACTAAATTCCAGGCTTCCCCCCCGCTGCAGGCGATTTGCCCAAGTGAACATAATTATTGGCTTCACGAATGGATGGGATGGCATCTAAAACTCGGCTCACAGCAAAACCCTCACTGAAATTTACCA